GTAAGTAATTGAAGATTGAGGTTGCTTGTAATAATGCACTAAAATACGTAATTATGTAATAATTGGTCTAGTCTTGTGATTGGCATATTGTTGACATGTAAGAATGAAATGTGGAATCATTAAGTGATTGAGTATTAATAATATAAATTATTCCTGATCTAGGTTTGCCTAGAGAGCTTGGCACTTGAGAGTGTACTGGAGCATACATATTTGATTGTTGGAGTTGGGCTGTTGATAAGCTCTGTGAGGTAAGCTCCTAGTTTTAGTTGTATCCTCTCTCTTGTGGCCCCACCATGATGGTGGGCAATATGGTTGTATTGTATGAAAGTATGTGGTATGACGTATATGTGCATTCATTCACATTCATATAGATGTTATATGATTCTTGATGTTATGATGATGCACTGATGATATATGTTATGAGAATCCTGACCAGTGATTATGGTATGTAGGCTGCCTATTACTTGACTCTGAGAGCTATTTCATACAGAGGTTGTGTTGACTGTCTATGGCTTGACCCTGGAGTCACACATGTGTAACCATCTATGGCTTTGACCTCGGGTTACACAAGGATGATATGACGATGCTATGTTTATGCTGTATGTTTGTATTATATGCTTTATATCTGACTTGTTATGCAGGAAGTTAGCTCAGGGGATTAGAGGATCCTCTATGAACCTTGAGCTTATTGATATGTTGTTATCTCACCCCGTTTGGGGACATCATTTCAGGTACCCTGAGTAACGATGATGCTTCTAGGGGCAAGGTCCCCGCATTAGAGTAGTTGATGATGCAGCTGATTATTTTATATTATTTTTAGACTTTATGATGGCATGTAGATCTGTTAACATGCCTAATTATCCTATGTGGAGATTTATGTCATGTATTTATTTATGCTCAGGATTGTATATTGAGAGCCATGGATTATTTACTGATGCTTTTATATTTTAGAATCAATATAGACTTGATGTTTGTGTTTCGGGTTTTTGGATATGGAGCTTTATTGTTTGTATTGACCTGAGAGGGGATCGCAGTCCGTGTGGAACTTGCGAGCTGTCTATTTAAATTATAATTAACAGGTCAACTGTATGTGTGGGACCATGTTTCCAGTTATCCGAAATACAACCATTATGCTGTCCGTGATACTCTGTCAGGAATGACACTTGATGTTATATCCAGATGTCAATGGCCACTAATACTGGCTAATGAGATTAATTAGTAGATGTATGTTTTAGATTTACGCTTTCGCAGTATCTCACGTGAACATTTTTAGAAATGTTTTCATAAAATGTTTTGAAAAAAGTTTACTCGTATTTTTATAAGACGCTTTATTCCTTTTTAAAATAAATTCTTCTGCTATGTATGCTAAATATCATGTATGTTAACAACTGAAGTACTACGGGGTGTTACAGTGGTGGTTAGTGACGGTGGTAGTGCCGGTGATGGTAGTGGCAGTGATTGTAGCACCTCGTTTCCACAAAACGAAATACGGTATAAATGCGCACTTAATTATAATATAACCAAAGACTTTCTAAGAGTATCACATTAGTTCTCTTTAAACTGCATGAATAATTTAAGCTTTTTCCTGCAACCCTTTATGCTTAAGACATGCAAAAATTAAAACCATACAATCTCATAATTGTATACAATTTATACTTAACTTTAAACCTTGACAGCTATTATTTTAGTAACATACGAACGACATAACCTCTATATATTGGAGTAACTGAAAAACATCAACACTTGTAATTCAGAACTAACCAATACACAATAAAACCAAATCCTCTATTTCAGAATCTATCCATAGATTCCTACTCAACTTTCAGTGCAACTTTTAAATAAACAAACATACAACCATATACAGAATATATCCAACATTTATCTGCATAACCTTATATCAAATGCATAATCCAAACTTGATCATAATATTTCATCATACTAGCACACATTGTTATTGTCACCCCAAACATATATACAGACGCATTCCTTATATCTACTCCTCAAATTACAAACCATAATTTACATACAGACATGAACAAAGCATATCATGTTCCTTTCAACCACGAAAATAATAGCAGAACATAACACATATGTACAATCCCAAAGTATATCAGTTTAACATCTTACTCCCGCTGTAATTGCCAAGTACCTTTTAGTTTACCTATCTCCTGAAGAACTACCACTCGCTGAAGAACCTAAGAAGTGTCCCCAAAACATGGGTGAGATTTATGATCGCAGTAAACTAAATGTTTATAGAATAATTTCTCATTCTCAAGTCTATTTCCTGCATAATTGGTCAGTACACATAGTACAACAGAAATATATAGTTCAAGCATTGAAACATATAACATTCAACACACAGAATTCTTTACAGGTTAATCTAGTTACTTTGTACCTATTATTAATTACACACATTTATTATACTTCATTACACAACTCATTACATTTATATCAATTAAATCAATTCAATTAGTAAGCATATAACCACGACATTTTACTTATAAACAACCTTATATAGGTTTATGGGAAATATTACTCTCATTTTACATGAGGTAGCTTATCTCATTTTCTCTCACTTCGATTTTCGCACCTCACTTTCTTTTTCTTTTTCTTTTTTCTTGTAATGGTCGGACCCACCCAGTTTCTCTCTACAATATAAGATATTTATCTTATGTAAAAGGAGATTAATAAAATCCTAGGTTTATACCTATTTATTTAGGGATATATTTTTCTTATGTTGTAGGTAAAATATTACCTCATGTTGTAGAAATAAAAGTATAAGTGAGACCCACATATAAGAGAGAGAGAGAAAAAAGAGTGGTGGGACCCAACACCTTTTTATGTGTGTAGGAGAGTGTTTTATCTCATGTAAAATGAGATAAACATAACCCATTTATTTAGGGAGTAATTAATCTTATATCACATAAGATAGGTATCTTATGTGGGTGAAACAAAGTTGTAGAGTCCATAATTTTCAAAAAAAAAAATATGAGCACAAGATTTCATGAATGTGTAACATAAGACAATTATTTTATATGACATAAGACAACTATTTTCAACCAACAAATATTGCAATGCTTATAGAAAAATCCTTAACTCATTTAATGTTACAGTTACCGAAATTTTTATTTTGTCATGTTAACTTGATACTCTCATAATACTCTTTCTAAGTATCATAGCACCCACAATTATCTTTTTATGGGTTTTATAATTCTCATTTAACATGAGAATTGTAATTTTTCTACACACCCTTCGATTTTCGTGCTGACATGGGTCATACATATAATTTTTTCTAACACATGGATCCCACATGCTTTTTATCTCTACAACATGAGATTTAAATTTTCCTTCAACATGAGAATTATAAAACCCTCTTTTTATATATATCTTTATATATATCTTTCTAACACATTTGTATACGTAACCGTGGCAATGATCTTTAAAACTCGTATGGAACCCCAATACAGAGAAAGGCACCGATCATTGATCACTATCACATAAAAGCTTAGCTCTTTAATTTAGCCTCCTGCCGCTACACCATACGTCCGGGGTATGTAATACACGATGGACCACATCTTAACCCATATCCATGCTTACACGTGTCTCCCAATGATATTGAAAACTCGTATGCAACACCAATACAAAATAGGCACCGATCAGTGATTATGAGTTTTATATATATGGGTTGAGTGTCTTTTTCGTTTTTAAAAGGACACATTTTAATTTTTAACAATATATCTTATTAGTAAGATGTGATTATAATATAAATAAATATTTTTTCTCTCTCTTCACATCAACTGCTGTAGTGATTGGGGAGAGAAGAAATTTTTTTTCATATTATAATTATGTCTTACTCGTAGAGTATAGTATTAAATACTAAAAAGGCATAAAATTGTATCCTTTAAAAGCATAAATCTTTATATATAGTGAGAAATCATTTGATTCTAGAGTAAAACTTATAAGAAGTCTTACTCTCCATCCTAGCATTTAATTTTCGTCCATCTAATAGTTATAATTTAGGAAATTATATTAATTAATTAATTATTAATTACACTATAAATGACAACCGTTGATTTCGGTCCATCAACAGTTGAGATGAGAATAAGCCTTAAAACTCTTATTCTGGAGTCAAAAGAACCCTCCGTTTATATATATATATATATATATATATATATATAAACACACACGTACGATGGACCATGTAAAACATAAAACCGTGGGCTAATGTTTTAAAAAATAATAATAATAATACCGTGGGCTAATAGTTTACGTAACAAACATTTTGATGACATTTTTTTGTACGACACGTATCTCTTGTTCTTCTCTTTTCATGCGTGGAAGCCAATAGTTCACGAGTAAGTGCGATACTTTGGCACGCAAAATTACAAACAGAGAACTGTATAGCCGGCAAAACGGGCTCGGCTCGGCGGGCCAACCCGGCCAACTCGTCAACGGAGCGGGACGGGCTGAGTTTTTCAACTCATCTCAAAAGCGGAGCGGGCGGGGCGGGTTCATTTTTTAGCGGGTTGGCGGCGGGCATAGGCGGACCGAGATGGGTCAGTGTAAAATTGGCTCGGGCTGTCGGGTCAACCCGCCAAACGGGGCGGGACGGACTGAATTTTTCAGCCCACTTTCAAAAGCGGAACGGAGCGGGCTGACGCATTTTTTGGCGGGCCGGGACGGGCCGCCCAGTTTGCCACATCTACATAGAAGTGTTTAGGACTTGTAACGGTTTCCCCTCTGTTTCCTTTTCTTTTCTATGAAAATTGAAATAGAATATCCTTTTTACGTAAGGGTCCCAATTCCAAGCACAAGTGGTGATTGGCCCCTAGCTCGTACAAATATTGTATGTATCAACTAAAAGATATTGAAGTCGATTAGAATAAAGCATAGGCATATCTACCACTCATTTTTTTGTTATAAATAAGGCATCAAAACACCTTGGCTAACTATCATCATATACATAAGGCGGTTTCTTATCACCTTGGCTCAAATCAATAATGGCCAACCCGAACTCTCTTCCCCTCTATGAAAAACATTGGTACAAGCTCAATTATAAAAGGGTAACGGATAGCTTGATTTTCATCCTCCTCTTATCGCTGCTTGGTTATCGTGTTATCTCTTTCAACAACTACTCTTTCCCTTGGTTTGTTGCCTTGATATGCGAATCATGGTTCACCATCTCTTGGATCTTGATATTCACCACTCAATGGACTCCAGCAACTATCAAAACCTACCCGGAACGTCTCTTGGAAAGGTATCGAATTATTGACTCCTTTTACTCAACAATAGCTAGTTGTTACGATAAAATGCCTTATTACAATTTATCACGAACGTTTATTATAATAACGTGACCAGAAGGTTATGAATTTGAGTCCATTAATCATCTCTATTTTAAAATGTAAAGGTAAAATTACGTACAATCTACCCTTGTCCACACAAAATTGAATAACCTTTATGCCTTGCGGTTTAACTTTTGCCATTTTTATTATTATAATAATGTATCCTTGGTACAATGTGTTGTGTGTGTAACTTGTTGGATATATGTTATTAGTATAGTCCAAATAATATTTTCAGCTCAATATGTAAAAATAGTTATTTGGATCCATGCATATGATATGGAGCTTAATAGCTTACATATTAAATTTAGGGTTTTTTCTAAGTTGAGGTAATTAATACTATTGAATATTATAAACTTGATGTTGTAATATTTCAAGCGACTATAAATCCTTCTCTCTCAATCCATAACCTCCAACAAAACTCATGTTTCAGAGGTCACATACAACTTAAAATTAGCTACTATGAACTTACATAATGGATTTAATCCTTCCATGAACCATGTGTGCATAACAGAATTTTATAGCAACATATTGATTTTTATAAGGATTCCAATACGAAGTCGTTTTGGGATGGAAATCATAATGTTTTTGTAATTTTAATTTATTTTAGAGTTATTATAGTCTTTATAATTATAATTTTTTAATATTTCAATCTCAAAACAACGTCGTTTCGTAAGTAAATGCAGATAACTTACTGCATAAATCTTTTTATGTTTTTATAATGTATTTATATCTATTGGTAAAGGATGCATGCTTTCTGTTGCTCATTATTGCATGGGATTTAAACATAACTGAGATTACTCAGCAGGGGTCAAGAGCTTCCTCCATTGGACTTGTTTGTTACAACAGCAGATGCAACGCTAGAACCCCCAATAATCACAATAAACACTGTGCTATCTCTTTTGGCACTTGATTACCCAGCTCACAAACTAGCTTGTTATGTTTCCGACGATGGGTGTTCCCCTCTTACCTTCTACGCTCTTCAGGAAGCCTCAAAATTTGCAAAGTTTTGGGTACCTTTCTGTAAGAAGTACAACGTGCAAGTTAGAGCTCCATTCAGATACTTCTGTGATGAATCTGAGGCCAACAATGAAGAATCAACACCAGAATTCAAACAAGAATGGTTAAGGATGAAGGTAATTAAGTTCCACAATTATATTCCAATGCAACAAGGGTGAGTTTTAGATAAGCATTGAGTGTGAGGATAGAGGAAAAGAAGAGGTCTATTTATGTTCGAACTTGAGCTGTGTCTCTGAACATAAACTGCGAAACGGTTTTGTCTTGTGTGTTGACACAGGATATGTATGATCATCTAAGCCACAAAATTGAAGATGCGGCGCGAAAATCGATTGCATGCCAACTTGAAGGAGAATTTCCAGTTTTCTCAAACTCGGAGAGAACAAATCATCCAACCATAATCCAGGTAACTAAATTTTTTACACCACTTATATTAAAGTGTTGAACGAGCAAACAAATGTTATGCTTTTTATTTCATGTGCACCGCATATATTTTCTCTTGTCATAATTGTTTTTAAAAATATATTTTTATTACTTTATTTTGTAGGGGCAAGATATATTTATCACCACAAATGTTTATTACTTTTACAACCAATCTAATTACCGTTCATTTCTGTCAATTTAATGGTTATAATTTATTGAATTTATTGAGAATTAATAATTATTTAATAAGTACAATCCAATAATTTTTAATAAATTATAACCATTAGATTAACAAAAATCAACGGTACTTGATTATAAAATGATAAATATTTTTGGCGATAACTATATTTTGCCTCTTAAAAATTAAAAATATTTTAGTAAGGGTATCTGAGACTTACAGTATCATTATGATAAGTATCTCACATATTCGTATGCTGAAATTCATGAGCGGGAATTCGAATCCTACAGATAATTTTTAGGATTAATTTCATATTTATACGGTCCCTTTCTTTACTGGCGTCGAGAGGATACCAAAAAACCTGACACCTAAAAGGATAATTAAGGTAATTAAATAAAAAATCTTATGTTTGATATTCGGATAAGTTTTTGGTGCTTTATGCTACAATCAAGTATCGCTGTCCGATCATATTATCCAATCATGCATATATACCATGCAATCCTGACTTTAAGGATATACATGCCTGATTTTGCCACTTAAATATTATTGTGGCATGCGTCTTATCTAGAACACCAAAATAATTATCCTTAGATGTTTCAGATATATATTTTAAAGTGAAAACATATGGCCAATATTTCCCTCGTTACATTTTTGTCCTTTTCATCTGTATCAAATGCATATCTTGAGAGAATACTTACCCTTCATCTCTTTTCTCTTATATTTATTTCCCAGAAACGAAACTATATATCATAAACTCAATATTTACATAAATATATAAAAGTAATTACTAACATATGTGGGTGCATAATATTTAGAAAAATAAGAACTTGAGTAGCATGTGTACAGTTTGTGGATGTTGGGCTTTTGTTAGCATCTTTCTTATTTTTATTCAATCAAATTCTACCTCACCGGTCAAGAATAATAAAAGTAAACATAACTGACGAAGCATTGCTTACATTATGAATTGTAAGGTTATATGGGAGAACAAGGAAAGCCTTGAAGATGGTTTGCCACATTTGATCTACATCTCGAGAGAGAAGAGGCCAAAGCAATCACATCAATTCAAAGCCGGTGCCATGAATGTTTTGGTAAGATACTGACTTCTTTAATTTCTTGGTGTTAAGAGAAATATGAAATAATTGATGATTCTTCACTTATCGGCTTGAGCTTTTAAGTTGAAATAGTTACTTATTATAGTATTATCAGAGCTTTTGTGATCATAAGGTCATTAGTTCAATCTTCACCAACCTCACTTTCTATCATTCGGATCCAAGGGGAAGTCTATGGTGGGAGACCACCACAATGGGCTAAGGTACACCAACCGTAGCAAGTTGGTCCGACACCATATCTCAACCCAAAATCTTAAGGCATTGGGTTCATGGGTCCATCTACTTATATTCATTTCACTTAACTCATTACCAATTAATGTGAGACTCATCACATTTGAATACTCCAACATTTTCTAGTGAAATTAAGTCAGCATAAAATAGAACAAATTTTTCTTGACAATTATCCACATTTCAAACCCAAATTAAAAGAGCTCTTATACGAGGGAGGTGATATGCTTATTTATCACTTGGCATTTCTCAAATGGGAATCTCACATGATCAAACCATTACCATAGTTAGAGTTTGGTTAGTTTAGTTAAAAGATAGTTAGATTATATTTGTTGATTCAGCTAGTTATTTGCTACTTGAGTACTCGATCTCATTTGTTCTGTAAAGTCACATATGATTACATTATTGTAAACACTTGCACATTCAAAATTTCACATGTTTTCCAAGACAAACTCCAAGCTTATTTTCAATTAATATGTAACTTTTTTTATTCTATTATATTGTTCAACGTCTCCAATTGTAATTCAGACAAGAGTCTCCGGGTTGATGACCAATGCTCCTTTAATATTGAACGTGGATTGTGACATGTTTGTAAACAATCCGAAGTGCGTTTTGCATGCGTTGTGCATTTTGCTTGATTCCAAGGGAGAAAAAGAAGTTGCATTTGCTCAATGTCCCCAAACATTCTATGCTGCACTGAAGGACGACCCTTTTGGAAATCAGCTGGTTGTTTTGCTTAAGGTGAGTGGAATTAAATACTTATATATATATCTGCTGAAGAAAACTCTCACTCTAGCAGATAAATATGCTGCCAAAAAATACTAAACTTTTTTAATAGATTGCAAGTTTTATAAGTTAAAATTACTTTATACATTTTTTTCGTTTTAAATATTGCAGTATGTGGGGGCTGGAATAGGAGGACTTCAAGGACCTCTCTATGGGGGCACTAACTGCTTCCATAGAAGAAAAGTTATTTATGGTCTTTCTCCAGATGACGTAGAAAAGGGTAATTGTTATTTTTATAGTAACATATGTATCTAGTGCATTATAAGAATATTTTTAAATTCAGATAAAATATAAAAAATAAATTAGAAAATATTTAAGAGAAAAATTTAAAATTATAAAATATATATGCTTAATTAATTTAAATAATCTAAATAATAAATATTAAGAAAGAAAAAAATACTTAAAACTAAACAAAAAAAAAAGCATGCATTATTAATTCAAAAGTACTAAGATTTAAATTTTAAAAGAAGAAAAGATATATGCATAATTAATTTAAATAATCTAAATAATAAATATTAAGAATGAAAAAAATACTTAAAACTAAACAAAAAAAGAAGCATGCATTAGTAATTCAAAAGTACTAAGATTTAAATTTTAAAAGAAGAAAAGATAAGTCCATTTGATTTGCTAAAAAACAGGGGGGGGGGGGGGGAATGGAAAAATGGTTTTTTTTTTTCCATTATTTGAATAAGTGTTATGGACAAAAAAAAACAAGGGACAATGTTTGAATCGAATTACTTAGGTAATTAATGAAACGGTTGAGAAAAAAAATGAAAGATGACATAACATAAATGTCTAAATTTTTGCTACCCACTAAATCAAGTTACAAAATCTTGTGCACAATTAAAAGAGAAAAAAACCAATAAACACTATCCCTCCATTTTCCCGGCTTTACATAAAAAATTACATAACACAAATGCTATTCAATCATAACAATTTTTGTTTTACTCTATTAATGATATTACAAAATATTTAATCATGTGCATTGTTGATTAAACAATTAACACAGAAAAAAATTATCCTATGACTAAAACACTTGTGTTGTACTGTTTTTTTTATGACATTTCTCAGTATGCATCAAAGGCAACTTAAAAATAACATATTATTTTTATTTAAAGTAGAGTACAATTAATAATATCTATAATACTCAAGAGAATGGACTCTAATTTAATTTATGGAGTGGATTTTCAATGATTTCAATTTTCAAACATACAATTTTAGTGCACCAATTCATGTTGGTTATTTTCAAAGATCGAAGTGATATCACTTTTGTATCCGGAAAAAAAAAGTGATATCACTTTAACCTTTTAAAGAATGGAAATATTTTTCTTATGTTGTTGAAGATGAGTTATCTTATGTTAGTGAAATAAAATTATAAGAAGGACCCACAAATAATTGGAAAGAGAAAAAATAGAGGTGAGACCCACTTTTGTTATATGTGTGTAGGAAAATGGTTTATCTCATGTTAAATGAGATAAATATAACCCTTTAAATAATTTCGATATTATTTTAATCTCTCAATTATAAAAAGTGTAACATCAATTTGGTCTTAAAAAAAATTAACATCATTTTACTCCTTCAATCATAGAAAATTATATAACCCCTTAATTATACAAAATCGATTTCAATTTAGTCTCTCTATTATAGAAAATGAGATTAACCTAGTCCCTAAATCCCGTGATCGGTAAGAAGATTTTTCATGTTATTTTTCTTGATTGAGAAGCTATAAGTTGTAGGTTTGGATTAGATTAATTTCTAGAAAAACATTGCTATTTTCTTTTCTTAAAGAAAATCTTTTAATTATAAGTTGTTTTAAATATAAAATAAATTATACTAAACCTGTACTAAATTAATAATTTTTGTAATGATCAATGTGAAAACACTTTCTTTTTAGAGTATTAAAAATGGGTTTAATCTCCCATAAATCTGAGAAGCATTAATTTGATCACTTCAATTGTTCATCTTGCACCTTCTTGCTAATGTTGCAGGGAACAGCATATCAGAGGAGGAGTTAAAACAAAAATTTGGAGCTTCAAATGAGTTTATGAAATCAGCTGCTCATGCTTTGGAAGGGAGAACATATTCACCTAACAATATCAATACTTCGAATGCTGTTGAGGTAGCAAGTCAAGTTGCTGATTGTGGATATGAATATGGCACTGGATGGGGCAAACAGGTAAGCAGCAATATATTAGTCACGTAAATTGTTAGATGCAAATGGGATAACAATTAATAATTAGCAGAATTATATTTATAAATTTTTTGTTTACAAACTATATTATATATATACTACCCGTAATACATTATGTAGTTTGTAAATAAAAAGTTTGTAAATATAATTCACTCTATTAATAATAGATATAAAATTTGTTAAATTTGAGATTGTAATTTAACGATGTTGGAAAAGAATAGGTAGAGTAGATATAAAAAAAAAAAAATAGATATAATATTCTATGGCATCATTTATATATATTTTTTGATGTTATTATTTTTAAGTTGAGAGATGCTAAATACTGAAATTGTAAGTTGATATGGTTATGTGGGAATTTCAGGTAGGTTGGATATATGGATCAATAACGGAGGATGTACTGACTGGGTTGACAATGCATGAAAAAGGATGGAGATCAGAGTGGTGTACACCGAACCCAATAGCATTCACAGGTTGTGCTCCAGCAGGTTTTCCAACTTCAATGACCCAACAAAAGAGATGGGCCACAGGATTGCTTGAGATCTTATTTAGCAAGCACTGTCCTATTTTTGGCACTCTTTTTGGTAAGCTTAGGTTGAGGCAATGCTTGGCTTATATGTGGATCATCAACTGGGGCTTGGGCCCAGTCTCCGAAATTTGCTATGCCTCTCTACCTCCATATTGCATCATTACCAACTCCAATTTCTTGCCCCAGGTGAGCATTGAAAAACAAAGAAATTAGCATTGAAAAAAAAAAAAAAAAATACTATATTTTGTTTTTGGGGTAACTATACCTATCTTGCTTGAAGGTAATTAACATTATTTCTATGTTCAACCATCTCGTTTGGTCTTTTTGTGCCCTGAACCGCCAACCGGCCTAATATATTATTTGCTAGAGGATGAAAGGTCATTTTGCACATGATTTTCTCTTATTCTCACAAATACATGACCCTCAAATATGAGGAGTTACACAGCCTCATACATTAGTGGAGTCACATGGCTGAAAATGGTTATGACTTCCTTATTTTCATCCTTGGAATTTCTACTCATGTTATAAATATCTTCACTCCTCCATTAAAGAATCATCTTCTTCATCACTGCTCTCCACATTGTTACTCAACAAAAATCACTCCACATTGTTATAATCTTACACTTACACTTCTCACTTGATTCTCAACTTGCTTGAGACCTCCGAGATGACATCTGTTAAACTATATAGTTCAAATTATTGCTTCTCGTTAAAAGATAGTTCATACTATTGCTTCTCGTCATTCTTATATTGATCTATTTCATCCTTGAAGAGATATATCACCCTTCCAACCTCTTAACAATATTCACTTTTTGGGAAAATACAATAATATTTTTATGATTAAAGTCATTTTTGGTCCCTAACAAAAAAAACATGGTCCCTACTTTCGTCCCTTATACAAAAAATATCTATATTAGTCCTTTTTTTTTTTATAACAATATTAGTCCTTTTTAAGAAACTAAATTGAGTCTTCATTGAATTTCTGAGGGACCACATTTTTAAAGAACTGGAATTGTAGAGAGACCAAAAGTTGACTTTTATTTTTAAGGGACGAAAGTGGGAACCGTGTTTTTTGTTAGGGACTAAAAAATGACTTTACTCTATTTTTATTTAATAAATTATGCGTACTTTTTATATTTTATGTATAGAATGTACACAAAGTTCCTTTAAACATAAGATAGATATAATTTCTAAATTAGAAGGGTGTATGTGTAATAAACACTAACTACAGGGGAGAGCAATGTGACTGTCTTTTTATTTTTTAATGAATATGCGATGGGTAGGGCTATAAATTTATATACATTTAGTGGCACTATTTTATATTTTGTTAAATTCAAATCCGTAGGTAATATTTATATTATGTTTTATATTTATTTCGAATATATAAATGTTGGTTTAACTTTGTATTTTGTTCAAACCAGGACATGGGCATATGTATTCCTGTTGCAATTTTCGTAATTTACAAGGTATATACTTTATCAGAATACTTAGGAGCAGGACTATCAATTCGAACATGGTGGAACAATCAAAGAATGTCAAGAATAACATCCATGAACGCTCGTTTTTGTGGATTATTAAGCGCACTATTTAAGCTGCTAAGGATATCTAACACTACCTTTGACATAACAAAGAAAGATCAACCCCCCTCTAATGATGGTGGAGATGATAAGGATGCAGCTAAGTTCATCTTTGATGAGTCCCCAGTTTATATACCAGGCACTACCATCTTGATGCTGCAATTGACAGCAATGGTTATCAAGTTGTTGGGGTTGCAGCCACAAATACCAACTAAGGGTAGGAATGGGTGTGGAATAGGTGAGATGTTTTGTAGTGTGTATTTGATCATGTGTTATTGGCCATTCTTGAAGGGACTATTTGAGAAGGGAAAATATGGGATTCCCTTTACCACAATATGCAAATCAGCAATCATAGCATGTTTGTTTGTACATTTGTGTAGGACCAATGCTAATGTGGTTTAGAAACTAGATAGGTCTTGATTAGTTGATTATATGTATAAAGATATTTATTCATTTATTTGCCTTTTTTTTTTTACAAATTAATGATTCAGTAGCAATGTACTTCTTAAGAAGTAATTCAACCCAAAAACCCAAAAGCTTAAATTGTTGGGTGAGACTACATCCCCTTACACGAGAGTCCACTGGGCGACTAGAAGGGTGGACAATGCACAAGTCCATCTACCTGTGCGAAGAAAGAAATTTCACTAGAAAGAAAGTGGGAGGCGGTGAGGATCGAACCCAATACATTGAAGCTCTAATATTATGTTAAGAACCAATTCAACCCAAAAGCTTAAGCTGTTGAGTGAGGCTACATTAATGATTTTTATATATCTCAATAGTACTAATATTTACACATTGTATTCTTAAATCACTTTTTTATAATAAAATCATAAAAGCAAACATTTTGGAAAGATACATATTTCTTGCATTACTTGAAGTGCTCCAATTCCAATGTGTTGAGTACACACTTTACAAGACTCACCATTATTTTTAGCCTTTTTTTTTTTGGAGAACAAAGGAATTACAAAACAGAAACACCCAAACTAAAAAACAAACTAGGAGCAAATCCTAGGCCAACCAACTCCAATGGTATCACAAAACAGCCTGCTTAAGACACCCACAGGAGGAACATTCAATTCCTGAGTTTGCCAAGAAAAATCATATGAATACGAAGCAAGCCAGTCTGCAACACCATTTCCTTCTCGATGGATATGCGTCATGTGAACAAACCAACTCCTAGAGAGCATATTTCGAATGAGATTAATTAAGAAAGAGTACGGATGAGAAGAGCTGCAACCATTCTTAATCAGTTGTTGTGCCAGTAGAGAGTCCCCTTCCAACCAAACATGTCTAACTCCCTTATTCCAACAAATCTCCAACCCAATCAAGCAAGCTTAGAGTTCTGCATTTAAAGCATTACCACAACCGAGATTTCTGCAAAAACCAACAAGCCAATTACCTGCACAATCCCGAACCACCCCTCCACAACCAGATTGTATGTCATTTGATGAACTTGCCCCATCAACATTGACTTTAACCCACTGACCAGCCGGAGGGACCAAAAAATAAGCCTCTCTTTACGAGTTAAATGCTTTAAACCAACTATGCCCAACAGGTGTTTAGCTTGAACAATGCTATTATAGTACCCCAAAATGGACATTAGATGTTATAAGCTGACCGAGTAGAGCTGGAAAAGATAAATTCATTTCTGTTACGCCACAGGAACCAAGTTGTCACGCCAAAGATGAAAGCCCAGGTAATCTCACCGTTCCAGCTCTTATTACTATTGATGTTTTCTAACAACCAATCTTGAAGATTTATATTGCAAAAACATGGTTAAACAGATTTGGAATTATCATTTTCAAAAAAAAAAATTGAAATTATCATAATTAGCAAACTTTTTGAAGACCAAAGATCTTTTAAAGGTGCAAGATTTGATTCAAAACACTGCTTCATAGATAAGTAATGAAGAACGAAAAATCATTGGCATAGCCTAGAGGTGGCAAAGTGGGCGGCCCGCCCCGCCCCACCCCGCCATCAACCCGCCAAAAAATAAGTCAGCCCGCCCCGCCCCGCCCTGTTTGGCGGGTTGGGCGGATTGGCTCGCCAGCCCGAGCCCATTTTACACTGACCGGCCTCGGCCCGCCTATGCCCACCATCTACCCGCCAAAAAATGAGCTCGCCCCGCCCCGCTTTTGATATGGGTTGAAAAACTCAGCCCGCCCCGCCCCGTTTGACAGGTTTGGCGGGTTGGTCCGCCGAGCCGAGCCCGTTTTTCCGGCTCTAGCGTAGCCACATCCAAGCCAGCAGGTGCCTTGGCACCTGCTTGTTTTTTTTTACTTATTATATAATTAATTATAATTAACTAAGATAAAAATTATAATTTGACACCACCTAAATAGAAAATCAAATACTCAATACAAAGTAACAACAAACGATCTAAATGCAAATAAATAATAAGGAACATGTATAGTATGGTTATTTTTGTGTTTTACCTTTTTTTTATTTTTTATCCTGTATATTTTTTTTTTGCTTTATTCTAATCAGTTATGTTATTTATTCTTACTCCTATTATTTTAAAAAAGAAAGACTTCTAAAATTAATCACAAAAATGATTAGTTGACCTATTTCAAAATATGGGCCCAATTAAACCAAATAAACACATTTAAAAATTAGGAAAAAGGGTTTGTCCTTTTAAAGGACACAAGGTTGTATCCTTTTAGTTTTTGACACTATTTCTTACCTGCTAAACATAGTTATAATATGAAAAATTACTTTTTTTTCTATTTCCTCAATCACTTCAGCTGACGTACAGAGAGAAAAATAAACGATTTAACAATCATGAAACCAAATGAATAACGGGACTATAATTACGAAATATGAAGGTTCATTGAACTATTGTGTTTTGGGTTATTGCACACAAAGAATAGTCAAAAACCTAATTCTCAAATGTGAGAATTTTCCTTCGTGTATATAATTATATAAGTAATTATAATTGGGCACTAGCTAAAATTGTAAGTTGACCCTAGCTAAAATTGTAACAGTGGTACTGGTAACATATGAAGATATGGAGCTGCTTTCCGTGTATGATTAGATAACATATTTCTTTCTTCTTAATTTCTTCTTCTTCTTTCATCCTTTTCCAATTGAGGTTTTCTTCTAACTTTTTTTCTTATTCGCACTCACCACCCGGAACCCAATCATTCTGTGACAAGGCACGATGTTTCATTCCTTTCTTTAAGATTTTACGAATATCTGTTCTTGGAAGATGCATTGGTAATTATATTGTCCGTTGGCGAAAAAAATTTATTTATATTTTTGAACCTTATAAAAATGAAATTCTTTGTCTTTGCTGACCATAATTGTTTATTGGGTGTTTCTAACATGAGTAAAATTCATGCCCACTTTATTTTATTAACAACTTTTTTTTGTGTGGTGGTAGTTATTGATTTTATTTCTTTTGAAAAATGGAGTGTTGTTTTACGTTTACCTTTTTTTAAAATTATTTTAATGTAGAGCTTCAATTGCTATTGGTAATGGAATTGAATTGTTTATTGGTGTTATTTGTATTTTATTTCACAACAAGAATGTGAATTTTGGTTATTAATTAGTGAAAAATGTTAAAGAGAAAAATCAATGAAGATATATGTATATATATGGAGTATGAAAATTTCTTATACATATCCATTAACAACTTCTTCTTCTTTTTGTATTTTTAAAATATCTAAACACTAATTAAATGATTTATGTGGATCCAATGTCATTTAAATGATTTTAGACATTTGTCGCTGATTATTTCATGTTTATTTTTAATTGTGAAGTTTGTTGTCCCTCTATGTTAATGTTCTTCACAGGTCACGGCTAGGGGTATAAATGGGTCAAGTTAAGCCAAACTTTGGCTTTGATATCCTAAGCTTATGTAAAATATTTGGAACCTATACTGACCTATTAGCCTATTAAATACTTGATTTATGGCCTGCATATTATAAAAAAACTAAAAAAAACCGAATACGACTTGTAAGGCCTACCAAGTTGGAAACTAATGTTTGTAGGCCCAAATCAAATTAAAATATAAAAAATATAAAAAATTATTCACAAAGACCACATGAAATCAATTTTCATTAATATCATATGAAATAATGTTATCAAAGATTACATGAAAATGTGCATAAAAATCACATGAAAATTTCATATATGTATATATAATTTGCACTTTCTTTACTAATTTCAATAGTTCATACCAAAAGGGGTGAGAAAAATCCCAGTAGTGTGATAGCAAAACCAGTATTGCCACAATATTAGTCTAGGTACAAAAATTCCAAAACAGTCGCATCAACATTTAAATTCAGAACAGATGCTAAAGCAGAATCAAAATACGTATATAACGTCATAGTACTAACCAGATTGCGTATATAACGCCAAAATACTAATCAAGATGTGTATATAACGCCAAAATACTAATCAAGATGCGTATATAACGCCAAAGTAAGGTACGTTCATAGCACTGCAGTGCACGTACTAACAAGCACAGTGGAGATTCCATTTTGGCTCCATCAAGAGGAACTCGAACTGCGACCTATGCGGACTGAAGCCAAGTGTCCCATACCCTGGTACCGGAGGGATGCCTATATGATGCGTGCTCAAACGTATGCTTACTTTTATGATATACTTCGGTTTCCAGAATGAATGCATAATGTCGTATTCTATGACATGATTGGCTTTACACACACATGAGAAATGCAGTTTTATGATGTGCATATGCATGACTAGATTATAATCATAATAGCATATATTTCATGTATTTTTAATACCAAGCTGACGAATAACAAATACTTCCCAAAACAGAATTTCCATCATGTTAAGTCCAAGGCAGATTGCAAATCATATTTAACAAAATACGAATCCAAGGCACATGTGAGCAACAGTTCAAAATTCCATACCCTAGCTAAAGTCACAATAGGTCTCACCACCAAACACTTACCTTGTGCTTTAGAGTTTTAACCATAAAGTCATCAGAATCAGTCCCCCTTTTTTTTATAGAAACTTGCGCACCTAATTAACAAAATACTCAAATCAGAATTCATCTTTTTGTATCCTATAAGTTACAAGTAATTTATATGTCTACTAATCCTAGTCTTCCTTCGGTTTCCATGGCCCCTATAGCAACTAAATTTTTCTGACTTCACATTAATTTATCAACTTGTTAACAACAATAAAATTCAAGGTTTCATTAGCACTCAGATTCGGTTTTTAGGACCATCCCCTAAGGACCCAAAATATTCATTTGAATACTACTACTTGCGTGACTTATGTAGGACTTAAAAGACTCTTAAGGTGCAGTCCACTAAGTTTTAACATGCGTAAGTTTATTAATTTCCTTTCTAATACAGCGAACAGCCTAACAACTTAGGGGCTATTTTTCCAAGTTCACCAAGTTAATTTTCAAAGCTTGTATGCACTAAAATACTAACTATGGTACGGCTAATCAACAAGAAGAGGAGGAATGACAAAACTAGCTTCCTACACCTACATGCAGCCGAAACAGTAGAAGAAGAGAAAAACGCAGAACTGATTTTTTTTGTTGTTACCTTCTTGTCTAAGCACCAAGGATCTTCAATCGAACAAGGGATAACCTTCCACTTCTTTTCCTAAATTCCAAGAGCCGAATCCAGCTGCATGCAGGGAAAGATGGACTCAATCACGGCTGGATTATGAGCATGCAAGGGAAAGAAAAACCAAAACTTAATCAGGGCCAATCGGGTAGAAGGAAACAAGAAAGGAGATAAACATCCTACCTCCTTGCTTGTGGTGTTCAGCCGAATAGGAAAGAGGAAACAATAGAAGTAATGAAGATGCTTCATCCTTGCTCCTAAGTGCACGGTCTAGCTAAGAGAAAGGAGAAATGGAAGTTGGTGATGAGTCTTCCTCTTGAGAAACCCACGATTTTGGGGAAGGTTGAGGGTGACTAGGTTTTCTGATTTTTGGTTAAGGAAATACAAGTTCAGTTTTCTGTTTGCTCCTTGACATACGAATGGGAATGGTGATGAGTAGAGTTTCTCTTTTCTTTCGTGCTTCAATGGCATGTGAAGAAATCGGTTGTAAGACATTGAAAGATAAAATTCTAGGTGAAAGAGTGAGCTTGGCCAAACATAGAAGGAGGAATCAATATGTCCTCATGGCCTAAGTGTCGTGCATGCAAGGGGTGGTAGGGATCTTGTTTGCCACATGGCACGCATGCATAAGTTGGCGTTTGTACGGGAGAAATTTTTTTTTAGTCGGAAATCTCAATTTTCAAAAATATGATTTTTACATTCAGTTTATGATAATATCCGTAAATTTAAAATTTAGAAAAATTCAGTTTCCCGGAATTCTTGAAAAATCCCGCGTACCAAACGCCCCCTTAGTGCATGAAGGGAAGATGCAATGATGAAGGAAAGTTTGGGTTGCTTAATGCCCCTCATGGGCCCTTGGGCCAGCCCTATTAAAGTCTCATTGGTTTCCCTAGGTTAAACCCTTAAGGGTTCCCTTATCTTACTTAACATGCTATTAGCTATTATATAATGCACTCACTAGGTAGTAGCTATGATTTTTACATACATTGTACTTAACATTAGTCCTACCTACACCCACTTATATTTCGAACTCATAGCAAGCCTTGATACTTATAATTGCAATTCAAAATAATCTCCTAATTCATGTGGGATGTTACAACTTTTTATAATATATTTTTCATAAAACTCCAAAAAATTATAAGATTTTCTCACAAATTAATACAAATTCATAATTTATATTGAAAAATATTGTAAATACTTTGTTTATATGCTACTTTTACAATCGTGATAATCTTAACAGCTAACAATCCATAAAATGAAAATTAAATGATTTTATTATAAAAGAATTCTTTTTGCAGTAATTAATATGTTCCAAAGAGGAATATACTTTATTTTATATTTAGAGCATAAAATTAACATAGAATTATACAACATTAAATAAATTAATAAAAGAGAAAAATATTTGTCATTTTAAATAAAATAACTATATATTGATATATAATTCGACCCGGTGAACCGGTCAAGAACCGCGGTTCAACCGGTGACCCGGTGGACCGGTTTTACAACTCAACCCGGTTTTTGAAAAAATATTTTCAAAGTTGCAGCCGCTAGGATTCGAACTTGAGTCCTGTGAGGATGTCCTGAGTTTATTTGTTGGTTAATATGCACCATTTAATATATATATATATATATATATATATATATATATATATATATATATATATATATATATATATATATATATATATATATAAATTTATCATTTAATAGAATTATTTCAAAATAGCATATAGTGGGAATCAAACCGTTGTTATGAAGATATACTCTTTACCACTAAACTACATTTGGTTCTTAATTCACTTGCACTATTTAAAATATTTATTATATAATTGAATATAAAATATAAATTTATATATATATATATTCGGTTCATGCGGTTGAACCAGTGACCCACTGACCCGGTACCCCGACCGGGTCGATCACCGGTCCGGGTTTAATAACATTGCAAAAAACCCTATCATTTCATTTTAAATGACACAAAATTATATTTTCTAAATATTTTTTTCTTAATTGATTATTTTAATGTTTTTTCCTTAATTGATTTTCTTTTTTGGAGTTAATTTAAAATTAATTATTTCTTTGAGACGAGTTGGCTCTCTCCATATTCCCACAAACGTTAACTCTTTAAATCGGCCATGTGATTAATTCGGAATGCGAGACGGGTTAAAGATAAAGATATTTAAATCCCTCCCAATTGTCACGTATGAAGATCAAACCAAAACCATTTTTTTTTTCTTTTCAATTACTCAACTATCTTACTACCAATAATACCACCATTTGGTTTCCGTAATTGATTATTGTCAATAATATAATTAATTTTATTAATCATTGCATTTATAACAGAATCCAGAAACTATATAAAGGGGGAAAAGAAATAATAAATCAAAGAGAAAGATTATAAAAAATTGGAGAATAAGACGACGGCAGAAGTAGCAGCAGTAACCTTTTACTCTTACCAGTTGACGCAGACCTTCATTTAACACTCATCATTTGTTTCTCTCTCTAGATTTGAGTTCTTGTCTTGTGTGTGCCAGCAACAACACACGGAGAGAGATGGCTATGAACCATTCAGGGGTTGTGTTGTTGAGGGTGGGTTTGGTGGTTGTGGCTCTATGCATTGCAGGTTACATAGTGGGTCCTCCTCTCTATTGGCATTTCATGGAAGGCTTGGTTGCAGTGAAGCACTCTTCTTCTACATGTGCCCCTTGCATCTGTGATTGCTCTTCACAACCCATCCTTTCCATTCCCCAAGGTGCTTCCTTCCCCTTCCCCTTCTTAGATCTGTTTTCATCAATTGCTCAATTACCCATCTCAATATCTCGTTAAAAATGTAATCTTTTCCTAACTGGGTGATCCAATCCAGGGTTTGGATCAGAATCAGGACACTACTTGAGATCTGGGCTCTCTGGGTTTTTTTTTTTTTTTTTAACTATGGTAACTGGGTATTAGTTCAATCATGGAAATTGAATCATGAATCCTTCCACAGACATAAGCAATGTAATCCTTAACTTTCTGTTTCATTTTCTCTCCAGTAGGAGTAATTTGATGAGAAGACACTGTTACTCCAACCTGTTAAACGATGATGTTGATTACTTTGGTTCTTTACAGCATTATTATGCTAGGGTTTTTGGGTTTTTCCCGTGAGACTTAAGTTGACCAATGTGAAAACTTTTCATGAACCGTTTGAGGGGACTGGCTGACACAGTTCTTAATGAAATGCTGAGAGTAATTTGTGTTTGAATTTTGAAATGATTGTCAGTGCCTAACTAGTATTTTGATCTATTTCTCCTTTCTCTCCATGTATTACTTTACCAAAGATTCTATTTGGATATGAGAAGGCCTCATTATAAACTAATTGCCAATTGTTTATCTAACTAAGAGCAGTTAAAATTTGCAACCATATTAATATGCACATTCTCTGCCAAATTGATGAGGCACAGTTATCCCCTTATAACCCATTTATATTATTAGCTTAAATAAATATGAAACTAAGCACCATAACCTTGGAACACTATTATTTCCTTCGGTTATGACTAATATATTAGCAAATCAATAACCACATAATAAATTATAACTCTGTTTTTTGTACTATAAAATTTTAGTTCCAGTTGAACATCCTTGTGGTTTTATCATAAATTGATGCTCCCTTCTCTTCATCTAACTGCAAATCGAGCATGTACTTATTTCAGTTTCTTTTTTGTGTTACTGCAGGGCTTAGCAACACTTCATTTGAAGGTTGGTTTCTGTATCCTAGATGAACTACAGTGAATTACATAAATATCCCATTTTGTTATTGTCATAACTCTTCTACGTAATACGCACTTTTATGATGGTGTAGGACTTTAGGAGTTGAAGTGACATTGTTAACTCACTTTAAGAAGTAAAATAGTAAGTTATTTCTCTTAGTTGGGATCATCTTTTAGAATCACAAATGTCATGCGTCTTCTGTTTGTTTTCCTTTAAAATAACAAACAAACAAAATGGTTCATTCTTGGCCTATTATTTTGTGTTTAAAAAACATATTAATCAAGGACTATGTCTAGTGTGACTTTTTGTTTTATGTCAGTCCAGTACTCAGGTCACTGCTAAACAAAATTTGGGTACATACCCTGTGTTGCAAAAATATTTCTGTGAGGTAACTTATAATCTATTGTGTTTAAATAAAGGTATCAAACTAATAAGAATGCCTATATCTTTCTTATGTTGTACTAGACTTGCTTGGATTACATGTTGCTTCGTGGTTGAGGTGTGCTGTTGTCCACTTTAAATATAATTAAGAAATACTGGATAAGCCACTTCTAGAAAATGAGATAAAAGCTCAAGAACAGAAATTTTATTTTGCCTGCAGCTAGCTGCGTTGTTGAAAAACATTTTGTTTCTGTGGGTGTTTTTTGGATTCAACTTTCTTCACCAACTCTTTTTCTTTTCTTGATTGGAATTGTTATTCAGATTGTGCAAAGCCTGATCCAGAGGTGAATGGAGACACTGAAAAGAATTTTGCTGAGCTATTATCTGAAGAACTAAAGCTAAGGGAAAATCAAGCTTTGGAAAATCAGCAACGCGCTGACATGGCTCTGCTTGAAGCAAAGAAGATTGCATCTCAGTATCAGAAGGAAGCAGACAAGTGTAATTCAGGGATGGAAACGTGCGAAGAGGCCAGGGAGAAGGCTGAGTTGACATTAGTGGCTCAGAAGAAGTTGACTGCATTGTGGGAACTTAGAGCTCGGCAGAAAGGATGGAAAGAAGGGCTTGCCAAATCTCATACTCAGTCTCAAGGGAAAGTAGAGACTGCTTAGAAACATAGCATGGCAAAGAAGTGATTCCATGGAGTGGTTGTTATATAATAGTTTTCAAACAAGTGTTATTGAATGTTGGTAATAGAAAATCATCATAGGTCCCATATGTGTTCACGAAAGGTCAAGTGTAAAATACAAATGTTGTTGTATTTCTAACATTCATTTTTGGTTATTGATTCCACATGTACGCCTGTTGAAAGCTACAAATCGTTAAATGTTGTGATAAACTTTTGTTGATGTTCATATTTGAGCCTTGGTTCAGATTGTTGCTTCTTTGTTTTACTTATGTAATTTAATGTTCATATACAGGGATAGAGAAAAATCTCGTGGGACCATTAACTAAATTAAATTTTGATCAATCATTTGAAAATATGCTTATTTAGTTCGAGCTTGGTTAATTTGCAATAGAGAATCCATTAACCATTTATTTTGGAGGTGCTATCCGTTAATTAAGTTGTATAAGTGGTTACTGGTTAATCATATCAGTTTGACAAATGATTAAATCAGTTAGATAAATAATTCATTTAATTTCGATTAATTGGAAGTAAATATGTCATCAATTCAGTTTGATAGTAAGTTAATAGAAAATGTAGGGTAGGGTAGTGCTATCTAATAATCAGTCACTCATCCATCAATAAATGCCATATTTACACTAACAAAAGCAAGTATCGTGAAAACCAGAGCGTTAGACACACATAAGACGAGCAGAACTAGAGAATACAAATGGAGCACTACATGCGTTGAATACTTCATGCAAGGTGAGAGGTAGTGGACACTACTATAGGTCTAACAATTTCTCGACGAGACTTAAACCACCATAACCAAACTGATACTTGCACACCCTCCAACCACAAGAGACTTGTTACACACTTCACTTCTTTCTTGGACTTGTTTCAGCAGTAAAATCCCCATCTGCAAAAAAAAAACCATAAATATGCGTGTCACGTGTCTGAGGGAATGAATCAAGGCCAAGATAACAATTGATGATAAATGATTCACATTTGTAATGGCCAAATTGGAGTCCAACCTGTGGACTAATTTTGATTAAGTTTTCAATCAACATTATACTGCCAAGCTGTTAACAACAAATGATCTATTTACTATTATTCTGAGAATGATTGACAAAGTTCATCATCATTAGGCGATGATGTCTATGAACAAAATTAAGGGGGGAAATCTATCTTGTCTGAAGAAAAGAAAAGAAAAAAAAAAAAAAAATAATCGGAGCAAGCAAGAGAAACCAATGAAATGCATCAACCCCAACTTGACAAGTAACAATACCTAAACAAAACGTAAAGAGCACTTACCAAACTATTTTCTAATTCCTGAACTAAAGAGTAACTAAGTGAAGTATTTAAACTGTTCCACTTATAGCATCACCAACATGTGGAAGGCATATGACAAGATCATCCAAGTTGGGGCAGCTTTGAATGCTCAAGCCTTTCTCATTTGCCAAATGCAATAGACATATGAAGCACAAATGAGGAGAGATGTCACTAATAGTTGCAGCAGCGTCGCATTCGCTAGGAAAGTTGGCCAATACATTCCTGAAAGATACCACTTCTTCTTGACCCTTCAGAATAAAGAAAGCGTCAAAAAAACAAATCAATGCAAGAATTAAAACTTACCACTCAAACGAAAAGTGAAAAGGAACTTAAATTGATTATCTACTTAGACGTAGAAAAGTAAGGCAAAAATATATAGCATTAGCAATGCGACAAAATCCGAAAGAAAGTTGATATAACACTATGTCATAAAGAAAACTCATTGTAGCAAGCATATCATTTTAGTGGAGGAAACCCAAAACGGAAAGATAAATTTTAAAAGTTTAAATAGACAAAAAATAACACTTATCAAGAAATAGAGAAATCTTGGCATACCTGAAAAGGAAGTTTACTCGATTCTTGAACGTGGTCCCAAAGAGTAATTTTCAATGCATGAACATCAACTTGTTTGGAAGTTTTGTCATACTGGACTTCAATTTTATTGACCTGTGTTAGTTAAAGTAAGCATATACTTCAGTTCTAACTGCAATAATTTCGACTGAAAATTAATGATAAGAAATACATATGTATTGATGAAAGCCATTATCCTTTCATCAGTGGGGATAATACCTGAAATAGTCACATATCAAGAGCAAGTGTGTAAATTATTCAATAAAACCCACCTGACGAGGCTGAGTAATAAGAGTGCCAGAATCTTCCATGTCACTATGAAGATCACCTTCATAGTCACCAGAATCACCACCACAAACATTTTCATTATCCCAGGAAGGGAATGATTCATACTCATTGCATTGTTCTCTAGATCCATCTGCAAATACACCGGAACTTGAAATACAATCTAGTGACAACTGAAAACATTACAAAATGTTCTCTATTTTCACAAGCCAAAAGAATTAGACTACATTTCAAAAAAAACTAAAGTATTGGAATCACAATTGCTCAACATTTTACCTGAGAACCTTTTTGCCCTCCTCCCAAGACACTGAAGAATGAATATTAATCATCAGAGGCTACAAATAATATTACAACAGAGAGAGTTCTTTGAAACTAATTCCTATATCTTAAAGAAACTACCTTCACACTAGGCAGAAGAAATAACTTGACAAGATCCTCCGGCTGATAGTGACAGTCCTCTGGAAGTTTAGTGTTGCAAGGCAGTCTGCTTTCTGGGAGCAGTAACGATTTGGGATTCTTGGGAGGAGAAAATATGTCTGACATTTCTTTCTCAAGAGAATTTGTGAAATCTAAATCAACTTCGGCATGTCTCTTACTCCTTGGCTGCCTTGTTTTTAGGGTTAACCCATCTTCAGAAATAGGATGAACCTCTGAGACTACAAAAAAAGATTCTAAAATAATTATCATTCTGAACTCTAAAATGTCAATAGAATTGATGAGCAGAATATTTGGCATTACTTGTGCAGATTTGTAATTATATCCTTAATTAATTAGTCAGTTGTAGGTTATGATTTGTAATTATATCCTTAATTAATTAGCCAGCTAGCTGTAGGTTATGATTGTATAGTTATGATTGTGTAATTATATCATACTATTTAAATGAGAATTCTCCAAGGGAGAACATAAGGTTTTATCCCAATTTCTCTAAGTTTAACATGGTATCAATCTAGGTTTCGTTACTAAATTTTTCGCTGTGCTCACAGTCTCTGAGTTCCCAAGTTCTAGTCTTTTGCGCGTACTGTTCACGTCGCAATTCTTGTTTTTTTTTTCCTCTCGCGATTTTTCTCAGCATCATGTCTACTGAAAAATATGATGTTCTTTTTGTTCGTCTTAATGGAAAGAACTACTCCACCTGGGCATTTCAGTTCCAGATCTTTGTCAAAGGCAAGGAGCTTTGGGGTCATGTTGACGGAACTAATTCTGCTCCTGACAAAACTACGCACCAAGCGGCACATGCCCAATGGGAGGCCAAAGATGCACAGGTAATGACTTGGATCATAGGCTCTGTTGAGCCTAGTATTGTCCTCAATCTCAGACCCTTCACAACGGCAGCAAAGATGTGGGACTATTTGAAGAAAATTTATAACCAAACAAACACTGCTCGCAGGTTCCAGCTTGAACATGAAATTTCTCTTTTTCAACAGGATAGTCTCTCAATTTCTGAATTCTATTCTCATTTCATGAATCTTTGGGCTGAATATACTGACATTGTCTATAAAGATTTGTCGACTGAAGGACAAACTGCAGTCCAAAATGTTCATGACACCACAAAACGAGATCAATTTCTTATGAAATTGAGATCTACTTTTGAGGGCATTCGCACCAACCTAATGAACAGGGCTCCTGTTCCCTCCTTGGATGAATGTCTAAATGAATTGCTTCGTGAAGAACAACGTCTCCTTACTCAGACAAACATGGAACACCAGAAATCTGCCTCCCTTCCTGTAGCGTATGCAGTACAAGCCAAACCACGAGGTCGAGACATGAGTACTGTCCAATGTTTCTGCTGCAAAGGCCATGGACATTTTGCTTCAAACTGTCCTAAAAAGTTCTGTAATTACTGCAAAAAAGAAGGTCACATCATCAAAGAATGTCAAATCAGACCACCACGGAGAAATGCAACAGCCTTCACTGCCACTGTTGGCTCTTCTACTACTCCTGTTTCTGTGGATCAGAATCCGCCTGTTTCTGTGCCAACTTTAACCCCTGAAATGGTTCAACAAATGATTGTTTCTGCATTTTCTGCTTTGGGTCTTTCAGGTAAAGTTTCTTTATCCAGCTCTCCTTGGTACTTTGACTCTGGCGCATCCAATCATATGACCAACAATGTTGCTTCTCTTACCAATGTTACAAATTACTCTGGTAATTTACAAATACACACTGCGGATGGAAACAATTTACCTATCACAGCAATTGGTGATATTTCTTCATCTCTTACCAATGTTTATGTTTCCCCTGATCTCACCAGTAACCTTATTTCAGTTGGTCAATTAGTTGACAGTGATTGCAAAGTTGAATTCTCAAAGTCTGGTTGTCATGTGCAGGATCAACACTCAGGGAAGGTGATCGCGAAGGGGCCTAAAGTTGGACGTCTTTTTCCTCTTTATTCATTGTTGTCACCATGTTCTTTTCAGCCTTTTATTTCTTGTAATTCTGCAACTGTTAATTTTCAATTATGGCATAAGCGTCTTGGTCACCCAAATTCGAATGTACTTCATGCCTTAATGAAATCTGGAGTTCTTGGCAATAAACATTTCCCATCTTTTAGTGCTGTTCAATTTGATTGCAATTCTTGTAAACTTGGTAAAAGTAAAATTCTACCATTTCCAGTTCATCAATCAAATGTAAATCAGCCTTTTGACATAATTCACAGTGATTTATGGGGCATCACACCTGTAATATCTCATGCACATTACAAATATTTTATCACTTTTATTGATGACTATAGTCGTTTCACATGGGTCTATTTTTTGCGATCTAAAGCTGAAGCTTTCTCTGCATTCCAATTTTTTCATTCCTATGTTCAAACTCAGTTTGCATCAAAAATTAAAACTCTGCGTTCTGACAATGGGGGGAATACACATCTCATTTGTTTCAAGAGTTCTTGCAGAAAAATGGTATATTATCTCAAAGGTCGTGTCCTTCCACACCCCAACAAAATGGGATAGCTGAAAGAAAAAACCGTCATCTTCTTGATGTTGTCCGTACCTTAATGTTGGACTCTTTAGTACCCTCCCGTTTTTGGTGTGAAGCTCTCTCAACTGTTGTCCACCTTATTAATCGGCTGCCTTCTCCAGTCTTGCACAATGATTCCCCTTTCTTAAGGTTATTTGGTAAGCAACCCAATTATTCAACTCTTCGCACCTTTGGTTGTGTCTGTTATGTTCATCTTCAGCCACCAGAACGCACCAAACTCACAGCTCAATCTGTTAAATGTGCTTTTCTTGGTTACTCAGCCCATCAAAAAGGTTTTTTATGCTATGATCCTCACTTACATAGGATTGGGGTTTCTAGAAATGTCATCTTTCAAGAAGATACATATTTTTTTGCTACTAACCAAGACACTCAATCTTCTACATCCAAATCTGTCTTGCCATTGTTTCCTAACAGTTTTGCAGAAGACCAAGCTCGTCCTCCTGTCATTGTCTACCAAAGACGTCCGACTGTTCCACCAATTCAGACTTCAATCCCTTCAAGGCCCCCTTCTGATCATTCTCTGGCTGCTGATCCAGTGCATGCACTAGAACCTGCCCCTTTACGTCGCAGTACTCGCATTCGTAAACCACCGGAAAAGTATGGTGTTTCTGAATCTTTATCTTTGACAGCAACTTTAGCATCTATTCCTATTCCTTCTTCATATAAACAGGCAATGGAGCATAAATGTTGGCAGGATGCTATAGAGACTGAACTTCTTGCACTAGAGGAAAATCAAACATGGGACATTGTTCCATGTCCTTCATCGGTTAAACCTCTTGGCAGTAAATTTGTATTCACTATAAAGTTGCGTTCAGATGGATCCATCGATCGATACAAGGCTAGATTGGTTGTTCTTGGAAATAAGCAAGAATATGGCCTAGACTATGAAGAGACCTTTGCGCCGGTGGCCAAGATGACTACTGTGCGGACTATTATTGCCATTGCTGCATCTGAATCTTGGCCAATTCACCAGCTAGATGTCAAAAATGCCTTCCTTCATGGTGACCTCAAAGAAGAAGTTTACATCAAACTTCCTACGGGTATGCCCTCACTATTACCTAATATTGTTTGTAAGCTAAAACGTTCTTTGTATGGATTAAAACAGGCACCAAGAGTGTGGTTTGAAAAGTTTAGCACAACATTACTTGGTTTTTCCTTCATCCAAAGTAGCTATGATCCATCTCTTTTTCTACAAAGGACCTCCAAAGGAATTGTGATTCTCCTTGTTTATGTGGATGACATTATCGTCACCGGCTCAGATCAAGAGGCTATCACTACAATCAAACAATTGATGCATACAACTTTCCACATGAAAGATCTTGGACAGCTCACTTATTTCTTGGGATTAAAAGTACAATTCCAACAAAAAGGCATCTTTGTCACTCAGCACAAATATACTCAGGATCTAATTCAGCTAGCTGGTCTCACCACTGCAACTATGGTTGACACTCCCATGGAAGTTAATGTAAAGTTAAGACGGGATGAAGGTGACCTTCTACAAGACCCAACTTTATATCGAAAGTTGGTAGGAAGTCTCATCTACCTCACCATCACAAGACCTGATATCTCTTTTGCTGTCCACACAGTCAGCAAATTCATGCAAAATCCTAGACACTTGCATCTTACAGCAGTACAACGAATCATTAAATATTTGTTGGCCACTCCCAGCCGTGGTATCTTCTTTCCAACAAATGCAACAATACAACTTCAAGCATACAGCGATGCTGATTGGGCTGGATGTCCCGACACAAGGAAGTCTACTACTGGCTGGTGTATGTTTTTAGGAGATGCCCCTATCTCCTGGAAATGCAAGAAACAAGAATCTGTCTCTAAATCCTCCACTGAAGCAGAATATCGGTCCATGTCTGCAGCATGCTCTGAGATTATTTGGTTACGGGACCTTCTTTCAGAACTTGGTTATTCACAAGCAACACCAACTCCGTTGTATGCTGATAATACAAGTGCCATACAGATTGCAGCAAATCCTGTATACCATGAAAGAACAAAGCACATAGAGGTTGATTGTCATTCAATCAGGGAAGCTTATGACCGTAGAATTATCACTCTACCTCATGTCTCAACATCTGTTCAACTAGCTGACATCCTCACCAAGTCTTTGACACGTCAACGACATAATTTCCTCGTCAGCAAATTGATGCTTGTAGATTCACCAGCATCAATTTGAGGGGGGATGTCAATAGAATTGATGAGCAGAATATTTGGCATTATTTGTGCAGATTTGTAATTATATCCTTAATTAATTAGCCAGCTGTAGGTTATGATTTGTAATTATATCCTTAATTAATTAGCCAGCTGTAGGTTATGATTGTGTAATTATATCCTTAATTAATTAGCTAGCTGTAGGTTATGATTGTATAGTTATGATTGTGTAATTATATCATACTATTTAAATGAGAATTCTCCAAAGGAGAACATAAGGTTTTATCCCAATTTCTCTAAGTTTAACATAAAAAACATAAAAGCATTATAATCTTTATCTGACCTCCAAACCCCACCTTTGGATTTTCGATACTTCCAATGATCAGGGCCTGCCCATGCGTTTTGTTTTGAACTAAAACCCAGACTCAAAAATAAATACCCATCAACATTTTCAAATCTGTCGTCCATATCAGGCTCTGGGGCAGGAAATACCTCATTTTCCTACAAGATTTGGAATGTTATTTAAGCAAGTGCATCACTCACTTATTGAAATATCAGAAGAATATTTTTAAAACTCGTCCAAGACAGTCATAGATGTTTAAATGGTTGAAACGTGACTAAAACCTGAGGGTAACTAGGATAACTTGGATCTGCATCATTAGAGCCCATATCAGCAACAACTGTTTGGTCATCATGATCATCACTCCAGGTCGTGCAGTTCTCATATTCTTCTCTGTCAGCCCCATTTTCACAATTTAAAGCAGCATCAAGCTCTTCAGCTGAATTCTGGCCATGAAGTTGAAAATCAGTAGGCCTTCTATTATTTTCATCGAATTGGTTTACTATAGTCCTGAGAGTTGGAGAAATCTCATCCTTCACACGCATGTTCAATACCATCTGCTCAACACAATCTACAAAGGAAAATAAATCACCATTGTCCACATTGAATGTCTGTATTTGCAAATGTAACAACAGTTTTATTTGACCAGATCTTTCAAAAAGCAACACACCTCTGGCAAAAGAAAGATCAATTGTATCTGAAATATCATGTTGATTTGGGCTTGCCATACACTTTGCAGGCACTTCTAGTGAATCAAAGAGCACCCTACATCCACCATATACACCGAGATTATTCATTAAAAGACCCTTGGCTCCACCTTCATCAAATTTTGCTGTTGTCTGGCGATAGAGGGGATCCACAACAAATGCAGCTGGAAAAACATAATCAAATATACATTTTCAGTTACAACCTTAACTCCACACCTCAAACAAGTAATGGAAATAGAATAGGATTTGTGATCACCATCAAACTTCTTTACATTAAGAACCTCAAAAGATGATTCCAGGGTTGAAGAAGGTGACAACTGCATGAACAAACAACTCTTAAAACTCATCAAGAAGTTTCATTAACCAGTCAAGTCCAGATATCCAAAGATTATTCACCTTTTTGTTTGTCTCTTTCCCACTTCCTTCTTCTTGTCCACCTTCAATATTAACACCCTCCAGAGTAGTGTCTGACATTATGACTTAGAATTAGAACTAAAAAAGAACAAAATATTAAAAAACCAAAAGCAAAGTACCGTATACTGAAGCCATGCAGGCTTCATTCATAAGATACCAAGCAGTAATTAGAAATAGAGCACTTATTATACAACAAGAAAAAAATAATCCCCATAACCCCCACCCACGAAGAAGTCATCAAGGAAACTCACTACGAATGCAAAGGATCATAATACACCAGGCTAGATAAGAGGGTAATGATTCTAACCTTGCTCAGCTTCTTGGCCTGCTCTATTCATCCCACCAAGAACTTTATATGCCTCAGAATGCACTGAATCCACCCTTAATGAATAAATTTTGACTCCAGCCTCAAGAGTGCAGCTTGCCTGTCCAAATAAAATTTTGATGAATATCTACAGTCTACACATACATAACCTTGCTTTGAGAGCCATTGTTATCAAAGTGATTATACATTCACCCTTGTAAGTTCATCTGTGCAATCCATATACAAAGAAGTGATTCTGCATAATCTAGTGGTGAAGTGTGCCAATTTACATGTGCCATTGCATATGGATTTATAATCATCACAGATGACATCACCATTGCAAAAAAAAAGAAAAAGAAAACTCTATGAGAAACATCTTATAAATTACTAAACTGCGATATCGAAGACAACATTGCCAAAGTCTCCATCATATCCAACAAGGAAACAACACGAATTAAGCACAACATACCTTTTGAAAATTAGTCTCCACATCATTTTCATCTTCAGCTTTAATAATATCAGTAAGGTGGTCAATCAAGTTCAACTCCCACGTGTTTTTCTGATTAATTTTCTGCATCCAAATAAATTTTTTAAAAATATATATCAAAAACATGAAAAAAGAAAAAAAAAGAAAAAAAAAGAAAAAAAGGCTTTAATTTTGTTCATTTTTTACGTTTTCGCTGGCGAGCTTTATGCAGTTTTGGAACAAATCGAGGATCTGCTGCTTATTGAGAACGGGATCGGAATTGGCGTCAAAAGATTGGGAAACGGCGAGGCTCTTGCGGCGGATGGCAGCAGCGCGAGCTGCGCGGGCCTGGGCACGTTCGAGCTGGTCGTCGTTGGAGCCCAAGAAGAAGGGGCTGGTCGGAGATTGGATGCGAGCGGCCACGGGGAGCCTCTGCTTCTGACCCATCGCGGGATTAGGGCTTAGGGTTTCCGCCATGGAACCTACAAAAGTACAATCGAGCGAGCAAAGATAGGGTTTGGTTTGGTTTGGTTTGCAAGTGAGAAATGTTGGAATCACAGAGATTTGTGAGAAACGGGAATGGGGTGGTTTCCCTCCGTTTTTGGAATTTGAATTGGTAGTTTTTCTTTTCAAAGAAATGAATCATGTGCCTTCTAGGCTGCTACTTCAAACAAAAATGTTCTTTATTATATTCTGCAAAAAAATAAAAATAAAATAAAATCATCTATGTTTAACATTGATTCAATTAGTAAAATTTTAAATATATATGAGGAGGGACTTTATTGACTCTAGTGTAAGACTAACAAATTTTGCTTGTCATCTCAGTCGTTAATTTTTTATCCATCTAACGGCTATAAATTATTAGAATTAGTAATTAATGGTATAACTCAATAAATTATAATTATTAAATAGACCAAAATCAACTACTAAGACAAGGAATAAGATTTATTTTTTTAAAATTTATTTTTTTGGTATAAATGAGGAGCAAAGCCCCGAACAAACAGAACAAGAGATCAACAAACCAGAATTTCAGAAAACAGAAAGAAACAAACTAACAGAAAGCAAAAACCAACAGAAACTAAGCTGCCAGAAGCCAATTAACCAGGATCCAGAATATCTGCCTCCATGAGTTTGACAAGTTCAAGATGAGGAGAGAAAACCAAGTTCAGACCAAATTCATCGTTAATTGCCTTTTTGGCAATCCAATCAGCACAACTGTTGAGAGATCTAGAGATGTGAGACAAAGTAACCCTCCTATCTTTCTAAAGCCATACTCGAATCTTAGCTACCAACGGCAGCTTTCGAGAATCATTACCAGACGTGGTAAGTAAGCTAATAGCTTGTAAAGAGTCAGATTCAACCAATAAATTCCAGCAGCCATGCTTCCAAGAAACTTCTAAGCCATGAAGAATAGCCCACAACTCAGCTTGAAGAGGGGAGCAAGAGCCAAGGAAGAAAGAAAAACCTCCCATTCCAGCAGCCTTTGTAGTCTCTCAAGATACCACCACAAGCCACTCTATTACCCAAAACTGCACCATCTACTTTAATTTTAATCACACCCTCATCAGGCCTAGACCAATAGGAGACATCAGATGAAGATGAGAGAAACTTGGATCCTTGAAGTTTAGATATTCTGCTATTCTTTACATCCTCCAAGTATTCAAACAGAAATTTATCAAGTCTATCAGGTCTCCTAAAATTCTCCTCGCGTAACTCCTTATTCCTCCAAAGCTAAAGAAAATAACAAACAAAGAAGAAAAAATCTCCCCAATCAAAGTATTTACCCAAAGGATGACTTAAATTCAACTCCAGCCAACCTTTTAAATCTGGAATAGTGAAGAAACCAGAGGGGAGGGGCTGAATAATAGGCACTGCCCAAAAAATCTTGGCCTTGGGACAATCTATGAAAATGTGAAGACAAGTTTCTACTTTACCAGAATAATTATGACATCTATCAGAAACATTACCCCATTTTGCAATTCTTTCTTTTGTTAACAATCTTCCATGAGCCAGTTTCCATATAAAAATTTAACTCTTTCTTGACCATTCCAGCTCCAAATTCTGGCCCAGATGTTGGAGCCATTAGGACTAGGAAAATTCATCAGCTTATTATAAGCTATCTTCACAAGAGAAGTATTAGGATTCCAATCCTTCCAAGCCATACAGTCTTCATCTGCATCATTCATTGGAGGGGGAATGGCTAAGATAACACTAATTATATGAGAATCAAAATGATCACTGAGATATGAACAGTTCCAGTCACCATTTATAGAGAAAATTTCATTTTCAATTTTCAAATCTAAATCAGCATGGTCAGGTGTCTAGCCAAAACTTAACCTTCTGGCCATTGCCAATCTGCCAAGCCAGATTCATCAGAACATCAGGCCAAATTTTGCACAACCCTCTCCAGAAATGAGAGTCGTACGGCTTGGAGCTAACATCTGAAAGGGAGTCTTTCTTTCTGCCATATTTGGCAATGATAACTCGCGCCCATAATTGAGAAGGAGCTTGGATAATAGACCAAGCACACTTGCGGAGGAAAGCCTCATTTTGTCTTCTGAGATTAATTATTCCAAGCCCACCAACACTCTTTGGCAATTGAAGTTGATCCCAAGCAAGCAAATGATGTCTTCTATAAGACTCTGAATCTCCCTATATAAAACTTCTTTGTATCTTCTCAATATCTTCACAAATGGCTATAGGAAGAAGACTGTTTTGCATATGGAACATTGGTATGGCAGAGATAATAGATTTCGCCAAAATAACTCTACCAGCCAAAGATAAACATTGTTTTTTCCAACCATTCAGCCTGCTATGAACTCTTTCCATAATGTCACCATAATGACTCTTACCTACTCTTCCATGCTTCATCATATAACCAAGGTAACGACCCAGATTTTTTGTTTGAACAAAACCACTTTTCTCAACAATAAGCTTAGCTAAATCATCAGTAACATTCATGGAAAAATAAACATTAGATTTCATAAAACCAACCTTTTGACCAGAAATATCACCAAAGAGAGCAAGACAACTCATAACAGCATCAATTTGATCTAAACCAGCCTCAACAAAGAGCATCAAATCATCAGTAAATAGCAGATGGAAAATATTTGGCCCCTTTTTACCCACTGTCATAGGTCTCCTAGCTTTCCTCTCAACCGCATCAGCAATAATATGAGATAACTTCTCCATACAAAGGACAAAGATATAGGGGGATATAGGATCCCCTTTTCTAAGACTTATTAATTTTGTTGGAGTCAAAACATTCTTCCTTATTTTATGACATTAATGTTTCTACGGTGAATGTAGATAAGTATTTACATTCATTTTCAAAACGACGTCGTTCTGGGTTGAAAAATTAAATAATTATAATGAGAAAAACTATTATAACCCTGAAATAAATTATAATTATAAAAATATCTTGATTTTCGTCCCAACACGACGTCATCTTGGGCTCAATGTAGATAACTTATATATATTGGCTACAGAAAAATGAACCCTCATATATATATATATATATATATATATATATATATGAGGTAGGATATTTTGACACTAGTGTCAAATTTCATTTGACACCTCATCTCGTTGATCTTTTTTTGATCTAACGACTTTCAAATGAGGAGTCAAATTTCAAATTTGATACTAGTGTCAAAGGATCCTACCTCTATATATATATATATGTGTGGGAAAAATATTTCTCAAGCAGCTTGAGATAAGTTTATCTCCAGTTACACCAAAACTACGTCGTTTTATTTATTTATTTTCTTATATTAATTGATTCACCTTTGAATGGTTATGATTCTCTTTTTCTCTCTCTTCCTTTATCACCATTGATCTATCTTTGTACGATTATGACTTACTAGCCAGAGATAAGATTATCTCAAGCAGCTTGAGAAATGATAAGCCCATATATATATAGGTTTGATGTTTGTCATTTTAAATGACATAAGTTATGTTATTCTAGGGGAGAGATAGACACAAGGAATATAAATCATGGGAGAGAAAGTGGGTGGTTTTTTTTTAATTTAAATTTTAAATAAAAAAATATTATTATGTGTTTGTCTCTCTCTTAAAATGACATAACTTTTTGTTATTTAAAATGAGAAACATTTTGTTATCAAAAAAAAAAAAAATGAGAAACATTTTTTCTATATATATATATAGGCAAGTTCTTTTTACACAAGTGTAAGACTAACAAGTCTTACACCACATCTCAACCGTTTATAAATGAAAATTATCGATTTGTATTTGTAGTGTAATTAATGATTAATTAATATTAATTAATTTGTATGACTTCCTAAATTATAATCATTGGATGCACGGAAACCAACGGTTGAGATGTGATGTAAGACTTATTAGTCTTACACCAGTGTAAAATGATCCTGATCCATAAGTGTATATATATGTATATGTATATATATATATACATATATATATATATATATATATATCTATATATATATACACACATATATATAGGGTTTGATGTTTGTCCTTTTAAAGGACATAAGTTATGTCATTTTAAGAGAGAGATAGACACAAGAAATGGAAATCATGGGGGAGAAAGTGAGTGGTTTTTTTAATTTAAATTTTAAATAAAAAATATTTTTTGTGTCTTTCTCTCTCTTAAAATGACATAATTTTATATCATTTAAAATGACAAATATTTTTTTCATATATATATATGAGAAAAACATTTCTCAAGCTGCTTGAGATAAGTTTATCTCCGGACACCCCAAAACTACGTCGTTTTGATTATTTATTTCCTTATATTTATTGATTCACCTTTGAATGGTTATGATTCCCTTTTTCTCTCTCTTCCTTTATCACCATTGATCCATCTTTGTACGGTTATGATTTAGTAGCCGAAGATAAAGTTATCTCCGGCAGCTTGAGAAATGATAAGCCATATATATATATATGTGTGTGTGTGGAAGGATATTGTAATAACCAATTAGTGTTACTACCAATCAATTAAATCGATAATGTTGATCCAACGGTTATATTTATTTCCAGCTTTGTATGGTTATGATTCCTCATATTTAATACTTTATATTTATTTTAACGTTTGTATGATTATGATTTCTCATATTTAATGCTTTCACCTTAAATATGGGGAATCATAAACATACAAATATGGAAATAAATATAACTGTTTGATCAATATAATCGATCTAACGATAAAATTGATTGGTAGTAATACTAATTGGTTGTTACAATATCCTATCTATCTATTTATCTATATATATATATATATATATATATATATATATATATATATATATATATATATGGTAAAATCATTTCCCCAGCTGCTTGACGTCCAGCAATAGCAGGTATATGGTTATGATTCCCTACATTTAAATTGTTTTTACCTTGTTACCAAAAAAATAATAATTTTTTTTACCTTTTGTATGATTTTGATTCCCCATATTTAATGTCGTCACCTATATATATGGTAAATAATTAACTGTTGGACGTCAAGCAGCTGGAGAAATGTAAATCCATATATGTAGGGTTCGTTTTTTCTGTAGTCATTGTAGTTAAGTTATCTATATTGAGCCCAAAATGACGTTATTTTGGGACATAATTTAAGATATTTTTATAATTAAATTTATTTCAGGTTATAATAGTTTTTTCATTATAATTTTTTAATTTTTCAACCCAAAATGACATTGTTTTAAGAGTGAATGTCAATAACTTATCCATAGTGACTGCATATAAGCATTAGTACTGTCATATAAAACTACATCGCTTTACAGTGTGAAAGAATAAGAATATGGGGAATCATAATCTATACAAAGATAAAATAAATATAAATCATTTAAATATGGAAAATCATAACCATACAAAGGGAAAATAAATATTATATTTCTGTTTACCAATATATATATATATAAATATTATATTTCTGTTTACCAATATTTATATATATTTATATATATAATGTTTTCATTTTTTACAATTAATTTTGAACACGAACTTCCTTGATCTCTTCTAGAATGATGTCATTTTGGACTGACAATACAAAATGTTATATACAATGACAGTAGAAATAATAAATCTATATATATATATATATATATATATTTATGGCAAAATGATTTGTGATATAACTGCATATAAGCATTGGTGCAGTCACCTAATAACTACGTTATTTTGATTGGGATAAAGGAAGTTTGCGTTCAAAATTTATTGTAGAAAATGGAAATATTATATTTATTTCCGCATTTGTATGGTCATGATTCCCTATATTTAATGCTTTATATTTATTTTCGTTTTTGTATGGTTATGATTCTTCATATTTAATGATTTCATATTATGATTCTTTATATTTATTTCCGCAGTCACTGTACATCTGCTAAACCCTATACATATATATATAGGTAAAATTATTTCTGCAGCCGCTTTACGTATAGCAACGTCAGGTGTATGGTTATGATTTCCCACATTTAACGCTTTCATCCTTTGTATGGTTATATGATTCCCCGCATTTAATGCTTTCAAGTATATATATGACAATTATTTGATTGTTGTATGTACAGCAGCTAGGGGTGATAAACGAACCAGGGGCCTTTGGCTCGGCTCGTTAAGACCTGAGCTTACATGTCTAAAATTTGTTGTTGGAACCAGGCTTGGACTTGTATAAAAACTCGTTTAATAAAAAAGACTCAGGCTCCAATTCAAAAGCTCGGCCTTAGAGCCTCTCAGGCTGGCCTAGTATATTAATTTCTATTTTTATTTTATATTTTTTATACTACTTGTAATAGCCTTCTCTTTCACCTCAATCCACTTCACCTCATTTTATTGGTTAAACAAACTTTTTGAATGATTTTGTTCTATATTATGCTGTTTGGATATATATTGAATTTATGAATATTTATGTAATTACTAGTGTTATTGATTGTATATTCTGTTTGGATACATTTTTGTTGTTTTATTTTTTTAAACAGGCTAAATCAGGCTTTTATTTTTTGTAAATAAGTCAGGCCACATGCCGATAATTATATGCATAACAGGTAACAGGCTTGGTCAGGGACATATTTAAACACAAGCTTAGCCTTTTAAGACCAAAGTTCGGCTCGGCTCGGCCTGTTAACACCCCTATCAGCAGCTGCAGAAATGTGTGTGTGTGTGTGTGTATATATATATATATATATATATATATATATGAGGCAGGATCCTTTGACACCAGTGTCAAATTTGAAGTTTGGCACCTCATCTGAGAGCCATTAGATCAAAACAGATCAACGACTCTGATTTGTAAATATATGACACCATTGATCTTTTTTGATCTAATAGCTCTCAGATGAGGTGTCAAACTTCAAATTTGACACTGGTGTCAAAGGATCCTACCTCTTTTTATATACATATAGTTAAATTAGTGGCAAAAATGAATTCAGTATTTAGATCTAATCTTACCTTGATTTTCCTTTATTGGTCACACTGTACAACATGAATACACATAACTTCTTGCTATACTAAGTATCTGTTTCGATCTTCTCTTTATTAAGTTAGAAGCTATTTATAAGCATAAGTTAGGCCAAACAGGTTTTGAGAAAAGCTCTTATAATAAAAAGCTCTTTTTTATAATGAAAAAAAAGTTAAAATCTCTTAGGAGGAACTTTTTTTAAGCTCTTATATTTTTTTCTTGAATTGTGTGCTTTTTTTTTTTAAATGAAGAGCTACAAAAATAAAGAGAGTTTTCTTGAAATATGTGATTTTAAATAACTTTTAAGCTAAATTTTTATGTAATTATCAAACAGTTTTTAGCTTTTTTTTAAGCTCTTTTATTTAGCTTTAACTTATAAGTAGCTTCTAGCTTAAAAAAAATAAATTCAGTTATAAGTTGTTGAGATATATTGTCCCACATTGATTATGTAGGCAATTAATGTGGAGTTTATAAGGCTTTGGGCACTCCACCCCTTGAACTAGTTTTTGGGGTGGTGTATACCAAGGTTCTTTACATGGTATCAGAGTCTCACCGTTCCCCACTTTAAAGTGGAATTAAAATAAAAAAGTACAAAAAGGTAAACCAAAAATTGGGCCTGTGCAATTCCACGCTTCTCGCCCAAAGGGCTCTTGCGTGAGGGGACGTGTTGAGATATATTGTTCCACATAGATTATGTGGGTAACTAATGTGGAGTTTATAAGGCATTGAACACTCTCACCCTTTAAACTAGCTTTTGGGGTAGTGTATATTGGAAGTGAGACTGGGATAGGTGGGGTGGGGTAGGGAATCTTCTCATGTTTAAATTGATCGGGTCATGGGAAAAGATATCAATTATTTATTATAAATTAACTTTTAATAATTAAAATATTTATTTTTCTCTTCATAACAAATCAACCTTAATAAGAAAAAAAAAAAAGCGTTGTGATTGAAAGTGAAAAAACAGTTTCGCTATAAACGAAATTGTATCACGTGAATTCATTTCCATATTTTACCTTTTTTTAATGGTGACTATTAATTTGTTATTAATATTTAAAATCTCGTGGAATGAGGTGGTGATGTTAAAATGAAATATAATGAAATATACGACTGTGTTGACTTGGAATCAAATTTAAACTGATTAGTTTTACGGGGAAACACGTGTGATTTGAAAGGATGTAAAGTTATGTTATTTTAAATAAGAAAAAGAGATAAATCATGAGAGAGAGTGGATAAAAAAAATAGAGTTATGAATTCCACCTTTTTGTGAAAGTAAAATAACACATGTTATATTGTTTAAAAGGACAAATATTTTTTTCTTAATTTTATGCAAACAAACACCATCTCACACAAGAAAAACACCTTACAAATTTATAAACTTTTTATATTGCATTCATTTGTTTCTCCATTTCCCAAAGGTGTAAATAGATTAGGTTAGGCTAAACCTTGACTTAAATAGGTTAATCTTGTGTAAAAAAATATTTATTCTGACCTGTTAATCTGTGTAAGCCAAAATTATAAATCTAACATGACCTTTATTTAAAGGGTTTATCTACTCTCATGTTGGAGGAGAGAACATATCTCATGTTAAGACACAAAATGATGGGACCCACCACTAAAAAAAATAAAGAAAAGAAAAGAAAATAGCAGCACACTTATCGAAGTGTCTATGACATAAGATAATAGTCTCCAACAACATGAGACTACTATTTCCCTTATTTAAAATATAAAAGCCTTGACCTAGACTTGATAACCTACTTAAGCCTATTAAACATTCAATAATTAAAAAAATAACTAAAATAACATGACGTTTTATTCAAAATAATTTTATTTATTTTTAAAATAAATAACATAATATAAACCGACCTATAGACTTAACATGTACAAAAAAATCTATGACCTGTTTTTTAAATAATTTTTTTTTAGAAGACTGAGTTTGTGCTATTTAACTATTTGTAATAGGTTAAGACTGACCTAATATAAGCTATGTAAGTCGCCTTAGTGCATTTACACCAATACCTGTAATTGCAGATGCAAGTGCTATGAGAAAGCAATCCAATATATGAAACTTTCTAACAGACTCCCTTTGGCACATTGAAAATTATACCACCACTCAAATTCCAGATCTAATCACCACTCAAATTCCGATCAGATACTGTGCATAAGTCCCCATATATTAAGCCCCGAGTCATAAAAAGTATAATTTATAACGAAAACTAAAAACAGATACACATTATAGCTTTGTGATTGGACAGTTTGAGCTTCACCAGAGAAAGAAACACTGAACTTCGTTCACTGTCTTAACCAACCAGCTTTCAGATATTACAAAGACTTCAACATATTAAAAAAAAAACTCCAAGACACCTTTCAATTAGAAAATGGACAGACCATAGCTATATTACATTATGTTCAATAATCAATTAAGCTATAGCAAACACTTAACAGACATATCAATGAATGTGTACAATAGAAGTTGGAATGTCCAAAAATCAGGACAAAGAATCAACCAGCGCCAAGCTGAACCCTCAAACCACTTTACTCTTTACAAGATTGCAACAACAGCATGTTTTTATGCCGTTGCCATGACGATACCATTTTGGTCATGCAGTGACATTTGTGACAAGGTAAAAGAATAAGTAAGAGCCACATCGCATGGTATCCTAAATGGGGTTCCTCATCAACAACGCTATAGCGCATCCTAATAAGCCACCAGCAACAACCTGCATTAAAAAGAACAGTAGTCACTGATACCCGAAGACTAATGATTCATATATACATTTAAGAGACAGAACAGAACATCAAAAAATGTGAGATTTCCAATAAACCAATTAACATGCCCAAATGTACCACAATCTGATGGATACATTATTAATGGACCAATGATGCATAGCAATTATGTTATATGAATTAGGTTAGCAACTGGACCTTGACAGGTAACGCCAACAAGGGCAAATCACATATAAATCAACATCAATATCACCTTTATCCCAAACTAGTTGGGGTTGGTCAATTACAGATGAACCCAAATGAAAAGTACGAAAAAATTGAGATAAAAAAAGGATAAAAATAAAATTACAAGAACTATAAATAACGGCAAATCACATGTAAATGATCATTGAAAACTTGAAATTAATGGAATGCACCAAACATCAACTACCACTCTTTCACCAACTTCTTGCCGTTATTCAAAACCTGCCAAATTAGTCTTGCTTGCAACAAGCATCATAATCAAAACAAAGCGACCAAATCCAACTAATTGGTTGAATTCAAGCAAGCAAATAGCCGAACACTACATGATGTAGGAAATGTAGGATGTAGAGCAATGAAGCACAAGATAATTTTTGAATAATAAGAAACATACATGATAAGCATCAATATTCAAGTAGTATTAACTTCAGGATTTAATGAAAGCAATACATAGTAAGGAATTAAAAGGGGAATCACTGTAATAATTGCACAGATAAGTTGAAGTTGGAACACTTGGAGCTTTGGACAATCATTGAATTTGATTCATTTTTTATAGGAAGGTGAAAAAAGAGGAATGATAAGGAACAAGTAATTTGGCTTGTTCCCATTCCGGGAAGATCTTGTAGCATGAAATTCCATGCCTGTGTTCGCTTGCAAATCAATCATAGTAAAGGAAGGGATAACTTTATCACCCCCTATTTCTTATTTTGATGGGAAACATTTCTACAATAATAAGTTCTGGTCAGCCAGTTACTCTTACAGATTTTAACTTGCATAGTGGAGTAATCCTGGGCTACTTTACTAAAGATACTCGAATACCTAAGACAAGCAATCATAGAAAGGAAGCCTTGTTATAATAACAGTAAGCAGAGCTAAATGCACAATGCACCTGAAGTGGAGTATGACCAAGTGAATCTCGTAGAGGTCTGATATTGGACAAAGGATGTTCTGGAGGTAGCTCACACACAATTTGATTCAGCAACTGCAGTGAACATTGACATTACGTGACAGAAAGTAACATGTGAAATATATATTCACTATTCAGTTGTCTCCAAACGAAGATGAATAAAAAATTAAGGGTAAATTGGGAAGCAAGCCAACAATACTACCATCAAGAGAACTTACTTCTGCCTGCCGCCCTGCATGAAGTCTAATTCCTGAGGCATCATACATTACCTATATATGTTCAACACTTCAACAAATGAATCATCCTACTCCATTGAAGTTAAAACATAAGTTTTTTTTCTATTAATGGGAGAAAAAGAAATTTTATGAAAATAATAGAGGAAAATGCATTATAACTAGTGTGAGGATAAGATTTCCTTCAAAATGGGGGAAAAAAATAGATCCAACAGAAACATGCAAAGACTCAGGAAAAACAAGTCCCAAGGCTGCCTAATCTATCTGCATGTTAGTAAGAACTAAGAACAACCCGCCTGAAAAAACCATGAGTTGAACAACTAAAGGAGGCTATAAAACATATAATCCTATCCCATAAAAACAGTAAATTTATAGAATTTCAACCAATAAAGTAAACGAACAAGACCAACAAAGATACTTTTCCAAAGTCTACATGAATAACATATTAACCAGACAATCATACAAAGATAAGGAATCACGTTACAATATACAAATATTCCCTTTCAAATTTGCTTTTAAATAAATATGTCAAAAATAATAATCAGCATACTACAACAGTTTTCATTGTGTGGATCTATAGTAGGCAGCCTTACCTTATATTTGCAAGATATTGATTACATGAATCGAACTTGCGACCTCTGAATGACGTGGCAACAACAGTAACTATTGTGCCAAGCTCATAGTCAAAAGAGATCATGTAGGTCATTGTCAATCTTGATCCTAATTACTAGAATATTTGATGGCTACTTAACATATAAAGCGAAGCTCACTAATTGATAATTATAAAACTTATTAAGATCAAACAAATAAGAAACCAGAGAAGAACAATATGAATGAGATATATTCCAGCCATATCAAAAGCAAAAATGAAAAATATTTAAATGATAATAGTAATTAAAAAATACAACATAAGTGAGTGAAACTAAAAGAAGTTGCAAAACAAGGGTAATCAGGGAATAGGGAATTATAATTGATGACGAACAATGTACATACAATACATGACAAGACGACAGCAATAGCAAAAGCAGATGACCCTGTTCCTTCATGAAGACCTATAGCCACCGCTAGAGCTGACACTGTTGCAGAATGTGATGAAGGCATTCCCCCAGAATCTAGCATCCTTTTAGAATCCCATCTCCTTTCCTTATACCTGAGTATCTAGGAAAAAATATTTGAAAAAAAAATTGAGCTCATATTTCCAATCATACATCAGACTTGGGCATGTACAGCAAAATTGTTCAGGTTAAAACGTCCAAAAGATTGATTGCACTCATCATGAAGCCCAATGCAAGATATCAGAAAACACATCTGTTCTTCTTGAACTATATGATATTTTCAGAATTACACTTCACATCAGAAACAAGTAACAGCTTAAATCACTACATTAATCATAGTTTATCCACACAAAAAACCCTAAAGCCCACAAGATGAGTTTCCAACTAAATTAAGCATCTAAAACAATCCTCAAAACTAGACAAAAAAACAAATAGAATTTTTCTTAATTTTACTGAATCCAAATTTCAAAAACAATTGAAAGTGAATTGTTGATAACAGCCCAGATGACAAACTGGACTCGTTGTTAACGCGTGGATCTAATTGACGAGAAAAGTTTCGATTTTGATGACAGAAAAACACATTGAGCTCCAATTGAAGAAATGGGTATGAAAGGGATCGATCAAAAAAGCTGAAGGTGGGAATGTAAGAAGAGGACGCACCAGGTTGTGAAGATCTTGAGAAACTGGGCGAGAGCAAAGGCGAGGAAGGCTGAGAGAAGAGGAGTGTTGGACGGAAGGTAAAACGACGACGTTGAGCGCGTGCTTGCTCTGACATCAGCCATTGTCATAACTTCGTCCATGAAAGCCAAGGAATCACTGTAAACTGCAAAGTGAAGAATTGCAATTTGCAAAGCAAAACCACAACTTAAAGGCTATTTGTGTTGCACTATTGCGTTGAGAATAATGGCAGAGACTTTTGACCAATAAGGTGGTTGGGCCCAAACTTATGTTTATTTATTGTATAACCTTTGTGTATTTCGTGTAAAATCACAATAGCAGATACCGAATCTCCAAGTTGATCATAACAGCCGAGGAGAAAAAAAAAATATTTAGGAATCGTGGGAAAGTTAATTTTTTGAAAAAATTAAAAAAAAAAAATTAGTAAGTCAAAATATTACCGAAAAAATTATAGACAAATTAATATTTTGCTGGTAAAATCAGAATATCACCTTTTGGCTGATATTCTCATGTAGTATTCTTACTTATATTTTATACACAAAATACATTTTTATGCAAATAAGTTTTCTAGGCAAAAAATTTCAAACCCCTACCAAACATGGTCTTTTTTGAATCCCAACCCCACTTTTCTGGGCAACAAAATAAAATTCTCTTACCAAACATCCCCTAATGGCATTGTTGCAATTAATTTTTGCCTTTGATTCGGTATTAATATTTTGCGAAAGAAAATGTATTCACCACTAATACATATAAATAAAGGGTTTAATATTTTTGCTTTTGTTGCACGTTCATATAATGGCTTTTATATTGGTTATGTCACACGACATTAATTTTGTCATGCTACTGACACAACAACTAGTGGAGCCCATCACTTTGTTTTGAAAAAAAAAAAAACCTACACACATTTGGAAGGGTACGTAGAAATAAAAAATATTGTCCTATGGCATAACACTTGTTTTCCCATAATTAATAGTGGTTAATGTTTCTTGTATTATAGAAGATAATTTTATTTCCTACATACATATAAGAGTGTGTGGGGTCATGTGAAGAAGTGTATTTTCAGTGCACCGGTTATATGTGGGACTTCCACTCAAAAAATAACACATGGATTAAAAAAAAGTTCTCTCTTCCCCGTACAACTAGCACATTCTCTCTTCAGTTTTGATTGGCCCATCGCATTGAGTCAATTGTGCGACTGGAGTACCTTAGAAATTTCGCATGTGAAGAGAAAAAAGAAAAAAGAAATGCTCTGTACACTTTTATGTATATGTAGGAGATAAAATTATCTCCTACAACGTAAGAAAGAATAATCTCTATTTAATATGGGTTTGTTTTTTCTGATGTTACTTTAGATAACTTTATCTAATGTTCATCAAAATAACATCGTTTTAGGACGAAAATCATGGTATTTTTATAATTTTAATTTATTTCAGGGTTATAATAGTCTTTATCACTCTAATTTTTTAATTTTTCAACCTCAAAACGACGTCGTTTCGATGAACATTAGATAAAGTTATCTAAAGTAACATCGGAAACTTTTTTCCCATTTAATATATAAACTTTGGTGTGTGTCATCAATAATTATGATATGATATAACATGTGATTACATAGTTTCCACTTAGGAAAATGTTGCCACATCAATGAATTTGTGTTAAATAATAGCCAGAACATTTTTATAAAGCTATTATTTTATGGGATAGGTTATATTTACTATCATTTTTTTTCTTATCATATCTTCCTATCAACTTTGTTATCGTCAGATCAAAACTAAACAATGAGTACAAAATAACATCAATAAGAGCTGTTGATTTGATTTTGATCCAACAATAACAAAGTTGGTAGTAAGAGATGGTAAGAAAAAAATGATAGTAATTATAACCTCCCTTTTATTTTATATATTTTATTTGGAAACTTTTGAGTGTATTCTATTTTCTTAAGTCTTGGCAAAAAAATAGTTCTTAAGTGAAAGCTTTTTAAATAATATTTTAAACCCAAAATAAACCTAACCTTAAAGATACCCAAATGTTAACTTAGACTCTAAATAAAAATAATTTAACCAAATGAAAAATAAAATAAAATGATAAATAAACATCGATCTCTTAGTATGTTGGATTTTGTGAATTTGCATAAACTTTTATTGTTTCTAACATATCAAGATTAATTAAGGATATCAAATATATTACCGGGTTATAATGATTTGATCTAGTGGCAGAGCCAGGAAATCTACTTAGCCCGTGCCAAAAAAATTTAACTCGTACCAAATTTTATATGGGCATGTGTTTCTTACTAAATGTTATCAATTCCCACGGTTTGTTCATGTGTTGTAGCCTCAGAAGTATTTCAAAATTTAAAAATCAGTCGTTGCCAAGGTATATGCTAGTTCAATGTGATCAATGTTATATGGGCTATAACACTTAAACCAATTATACATTATCACCGTGGATCATAATGAGATAGACTATATATTTATCACTACTGTTCTGGATGGCCCAAGAACACAACGGCCCAAAGGTCCAAGCCCAATCTCAACTCCCTATCCACGTCAGCCCTACCAACTGTCAACCCTCCCAACGCCCAACGTGATGACACTCCCTAGGAGAAACACCAAAATGTCCCGTTTCGAGACCCCAACCCCCAAAGGTAATCGCCCCAGATGCCATAAGAGGAAACTGCCCCTTTGTCACACGCTGACACCGCCAGGCGCAGGGGGCGCATCGCTGCTATCATAGCAGCGCCTGCCACGCCCAACAACATCTTCCATCATGAGCAGATCCCAAGAAGGGTTGACCCCATTCTTACCAACCCACAGAAGATTCACATCACCTTCCCCTATAAATAGCCCCCTTGGGCATACCAAGAGGTATCTTATGTATCGTTATTCTGCCCATTTACATTGAGTCACACATTCACACACCTGACCCCATTGTTGATTGCTTGCTTCATACTTGGAACAGTGCCTCTTAGCTTGGTCTTTACCTGTGCTAAGGGTATCATCCACACAGTGACTCCATCCCCAAAGAGAACATAGTGGGCTTATAGATTCCAACGGTACAACTACATATAGCACAAAGAGATGATCGTTGTTCTAATTATTTAGGTTAAATATTGTAGCACATATTAACACTTTTATTTTTCACGTCAATAACCCTAAAGTGCAAGAGAATGGTAATCCTCCTTTGCTCTTTCGTGATATTTTAACTATTTGACAATCACGTGTTTTGAATTAAAGTTAAGAATTGAAATTATAGGAAGGGGAGACTAATATGTTAATATAGCATTGATTCAGTGGGACACTAGTATGAAAAAATCATAGCTCAAATGATGGAGCAACCGCATAAAGTATCAAGCCAACCTGAGAATAACGAGGGGGGAAGTGGTGTGATACGACACTATTTAGCATTGTGAGGTTGCCATGTTATATAGTAACAAGTCTTAAGCAAGTGAGGTGATAAAGGTGCCTCCTCACCAACAAGGAGTTGGCCAATGGTAGCAACTCAAGACCCCTATAAGGTAGAGAATGCAATTTCGAGACCCAAAAAGTGCATATGTTGGGAAGGCTCTCAATCGCCGACCAGAATAGTCCTAAAGAATAAACCGATTAGTAGAAATACTAAAAAAAAGAGAGGAGCCTCCTCAAAGAAAGGTATGATATTTATAATGGGAGGAAGATTTTCCTTGCATAAATAGGGTGTGCCCAACCCGTAATGCACGTTTGTTTGGGAGGTCTTTTTTTTAACTCCTCTTTTCTTTATAAGCAGAAACTAGGCCAAACAGATTTTTACAAAAGTTCTTATAATAAAAAGAGCTTTTTTATAAGATAAAAGATAAAAGTCAAAAGCTTCTCGGAGGATTTTTTTTTTAAATTGCATAAACTTTTTTTGAAATGAATAGTTTTAAGTAACTTTAAAGTTAAAAAATTTATATAATCATCAAACATCTTTTAACTTTAGCTTAAAAGTAATTTTTAGCTAAAACAAAAAGATGTCCAAATAGTGTGAGCTGTTCTGACCTCTCATGTGAGAAAGGCATGTGTGCACGGAAGAGTAAGGGGTAATTTGTTGTAATGAGGACCTTTGTCTTATAGTGAGAATGAGAGATTGCACCTTTTTTTTTTGGATAAACCACAAGTATCCTCCTCGGGATGCAACCCTGTTCGGGGCGGTCCAAGATTAAGACTTTAAACCACTCTCAAAGATGGTACTGGGGAGGATTGAACATATGATCTTATCCCCACCTGCTTAGCTTCTATGCGCCAACTGAGCTACCTTCATTTGGTTAGAGATTGAAATTTTTGGGGGAGCCTAATGGACCGATCGGTAACAAGAATAAACTTTAATATTTGCATTTTTATACCTAAAAATCAACAATAAATTTCCATTTTTGGTTAATCGTCAAAGAAAACATATCATTACAAAGACAACCAAGGCCTAGGTATAATAACCCTAATTTGCGTAATATGGATTTGTGATATGATTAATGATTTAATCATGAAATTAATGGTATAATTAGGTTGAAAAGCTAATTAGGCAAAAATAAGGCATTTTTGAAAAAAGTGCAAATAGTATGAGTTTTGGGGTATAACTGCTCGTAGGCAAAAATTATGCGGAACTTAAAAATAATTGAATGGAATATCATGAAATAATTTTAGTGAAAGTCTAAAATCATGTTAGATGAGTTAAATTGATGAGAGGACATGATTGAGATTATGCTTAAAGTGCTTTGACTTGAAGGACTTAGATATTCAACCAAAATACCCTAAGTTTAAGACAAAAACTATTATATTTCTTCTTCTTCCTTCGATCATTTTCTCTGTGACCCGAGACACCATAACCTTCAAGCTTGGATTTCTAGTTTCTTGTGTAGTCAATGAATCAAGGAAGTGTGAACCAAAGAATTGTTTAGAAACTTCATACAAACATAACCTATAATTGAAACATCCTTGAAAGTGAGTGTGTGGTGAGAAAAATGGAAGGGAAGGTGGCAGTTTTGAGGAGTTTTTAAGTAAATGAGATTATTTTGATCTCATCCAAATGTTAGAAATTACTCCTTGGAGCTTTGCGAAGCCTTTAAGGTAAGAGAACCTCATTTCCATCTAGTTTTCACAAGGTTGATTTCTAGGTTGACATATTGATATATTTTCATAGTTGATGAGGTTGGAGTGTTA